ACCTCGGAGAGGTTGGGTTGGATTGGGCATCACTACCCATGGACTCGTCGTAGTCGACTTGGCCCTCTTCAAGTTCCAAGAGCAGAACATTGTTCCCTCTGGGCGGCGCCCGCGGCTCTGACGAGCTTTGAGCTTTGCTCTCTTCAAGTTGACGGTTCATGGAGCGTTGACCGTGTCGTCGGCGATACTCTTGGTGGTACTCCACCACGGAAAGAGACTAAGATGCTCTTGGAGCAGTTGCAGAGCGCAGTTGTGAGGCTGGAACCGTCGGGGCAGGGGCGGCGCGACGCACTGGAGACATTGGGCCGTGGGCCGGAGTCGAAGTGCCAGGCATCAAGGATGCGAAAAGCGTTTGTGAGCTCGCGAAGCTGCAGAACGCAGAGGTGAGGTCTAGTGACCTCCGTCGTCTTGACAAGACGTGACCTCGCTGAGGAAAGTTTCGAGAACGGAATGTTCTCATCTTAGTGAGGGAGAGTGTAACGGGGTTACATGGTGTGGAATACACAGGGGTACGGAGTACCCGGAGAGTTAGCAAACTCTCAATACATATGCTGGAGAGTTAACAAGGTCTCTCAGTACGTTGGCTGAAAGCCACACGTTATGCATTTGATTAAGTTTAACTGTGCTAGATAGTTAAACAGATACATTTACCCCTAGGCGGTTTGGCCGCAATAAAAGTAAATAAAACACTTCTGACTTTGAAGCATAACAGCTAAGGCATTAACTTTGAGCCCTGGTCTTGGGCTGTAAGTTTCTTTGGATAAGGAACTTAGTATTAGGGACTCTTTGAGTCGAACGTCTTCCTCTGACGCTAAAGCTACGGCAGCCCCGCTGCATTGTCTGGCAGAATTGTCGCTTTGGCGTGACCATCCACGTAGGTTTAAAGGATGCGGGATTTACCCATTGTCACTGATGAAAATGATGGCGTCCCTCGAGAACTTCCCGAGGAACGGTACATCAGAATCGCTGCAGGTTGCATCGTGGCTTCAGATGAAGGCGCATGCTCAGGCAGATGTATTGGTGCTCCCTCGTCCGCCAGCTAAGAAGAAAAAATGCACTACAGCTACAGTGACAGGGAAGTTGCTCGCTAGAGAGCTTCTACAGCAGATTGACGAGGGGTTGAACGCGAAGAAGAAGGCGGAGGCAAACAGCAAGAAGTCGTCAATAGAAAGTAGGTGACAATTAGCAGCGAGTAGGCCAGTGCGCGTAGAAGTGAGCTAGTAAGCGCACCTGCTATTGCTGCTATCGAAGAAGCACTTGTCTGGAGTGATAAACTCCTGCAAAACCACTCCTCGCGTGCCAACTGTGGCCATAAATCTTAAAATATCGGCATTTTGCCCTCATTGCGGTGGTGACGGGATTTGAACTCCCAGTTTAAAGCGTAATTGAGCCACATCTACACCACTACACCGGTCAAAGCTCTATTTATCTGCATTACGAACATCGTTACTAAACTTCTAAAAACAATTTATCCCGTTCAATATGATAAGGATGTATCGCATTAGCCTTAGATGTTTGCTATTTAAACGCCGAGCTGATCGAGAAGACAAGATTAGTAACAGGGACTTGCGCTCGCTACAATTCCCTAAATGTTTGGCTGCGGTAGACTGGTTGCGAGCGCAATTTAATGGAGGCGCTAAAAATACAATTATTAAAATGAAAAGCTACAAAAAAGACAGGAAAGCTGACATCGCGAGCTATCGATAGGTACTCGCAGTTTTTTAATCGATCAGATATTTGCTGAGATATTGCAATTTAATCGTCAATTTGCGCTTAACTGGCCATCGACCCGTAATATGATTATTAACTTTTTTGCTATTAGAATCTGACGATCAGCTAGATAGTACTACAATAAGATTATTGTAAAAAAAATCCTGTAATATTTGAGGTACTTTTTTTTTAACAAACACTACCGGTAAATTACCGGTAGTGTATACAGGCGGTAATACCATCTCTGGTAAGCCATTTCGAAATCAAGATTTTGGAAGCACGATGTTACTGCCCAGCTTTTTGGTGCATAGTTGTGCGCATTAAACCTGGTACACAACCAGGAGCAGGATTGAAACCAGGTCGTAATGTATTTCGCATTGAATAAAAATGTTATTTACGCATATAGGCCTTTCTTTGTTTTGTTTAGAGCTCTGCATACTCACGAGACGGTGGAATAGAAGGATTTGCACAACCCAATTTGTTGAAGTGTGGTAATCATAACGATTGGATGGCAGGTCTGCAATTCTTGTGTGGTGCGCATACAGTGTCTGGGACACGTCGGATACCCTTCAGTTTTATGCATGTAAACGTAACAGGCCAAATCATCTCAGGTTTTCAAACAGGTTTTACACCAGGTTTTTGTACTTAGAGCAATATCAGTACGATATCTTAAATATGTGAGGGGATATCTAGCAGGTTTGACGGCAGGTTACAAAACAGGTTTTTGTGCTTAAGGTTTTACCGACGGCAACACGGAACAGCTCGGACTCAAATACTACTTCAATACCTGACATGAAATGAGTGCATTTATTGACTTAGTAGTGTAGACAACATCCGAGCTGCTATTCAGCTGAGGGTCCTTCAGTACATTGCTGATCCTGTCGTCAAGAAGCCTCCACATAAAGCTGAGAGCGTAAATATCAAAGCTATTCCCGTCGTTCTGGGTAGTAGATGCCACAACAACGGATTTGTACGAGGCAAACTTGCTCTCTTTGCAAGGGCGTGCTTTGATTTTATTCAGGTGCGCAATGTAGTCTGGATCTCTCAAAGGGTCGTAAATGAAAATGCTCTTGGTCGCAGTGTTGATCACAATTGACGTCCAGTGAATGCGATCAAAATTGAGTGGAAGGAAAACGAGCTTCGTATCACACGTGTTCAGCTCGTGCACAACCTCTGCGGGCAACTCCGCCATTCTCACCTTCCTGTTCAGTTTTAGCTCATGTGTCAGCATAACGCGAACACTGTAGGCTTTGGTCCAAAATGCTCCGATCGCTTCAAAAATCTGCCCGCTAATCCAGTCTCCAGGCTGTAGCCGATATAGCGTCGAGTACTCTAGATCGCAGTGTAGACTCTCATCCACAATCTGATATGGATGGGACTCTAGCAAATACTTTGTGGCTTGATCAGCTTCAGTTTTGTCCTTTCGAATCGACGTTAGCCATTCTACAGCGTTTTCTTAGCAGTTTTGAAGTGGCTGAGATCCGCATATGCCAATCCGAGTTGGTCTCGATGACAGAGTGCTGTACGAACTGACCAGACCCGAACGCATCCATCACCATCAGGCTGCGAAGCTGGTAGTCGTATTTATAAAACAAACGTTAAAAAAGAATGATAAGGTGTATCCTGTTTTGAGCCGTAGCTTAAACCCTGGTACAAAATCTGGTACGAAACCTAATTCGTAACAGGTTGGAAACCTGGTTTAAACAAATGAAAGGAAACGTGGTGTAGAACCTGTTATGAACTTACCGATTGGTTTTGTGAGTGCAGTTCACCAGCAGGAGCTCCGGATACTTAGCAAACGTCGCTCGTATGTGTCCGGTACTCAGTGAGATCGATCCAGTCTACCCTGTTCACGTGTCGTCGACACTTACGACGTTATTATTGTCCTCCTCGCCGAAGCCGACAAAAAATTCGGCAACAGCCAAATCATCATCGGCCTGTCCACGGAGCTCATTGCTAATTCGAGAAAAAGATTCTCCGCATCTCTCTTCGTCACTTTGTACCTGGAGTTATCACGGATGTACTCGTAAATTCGGAGACTCTTGCCTCCAGCGCGTACCATCAACCGTAGGTCTTGAACCAGAGGCTCATACATCGGAACTTGGTGATTGTGAGGATAACGCTCGTAAATGTCCTGGGAAAGTTTGTGGTTGTAAGTGTAAATGGAATTTTTAAACTCTAGGATCCACTTTTCTTTGTAGGACACACAATATCCGCAGTAAAACGAAATGGACATCCAGTACCTCGAAGCTTGAACTGCTGTCTCTTTCCAGATCCACGGCGGCGGGTCCGCGACCCGTGCGTACAAATGTATCGCCGGCGAAAACGGGGAAGGGTCTCGGGTAAGTATCGCATCGAACATCCGTCCTTAGCGCGCTTAGAAGCACGTAGCATCTTGTTTCGTGTGGCGACACTCTCCGATTCGTGCACCACAAGATGCGCCCTTTCGGATTCTCAATACGATTTGCGGTATTTCTCCCAACTTTCCCAGTTTGTGTGGTAGCGACACAGCTCCTTCCCCTCAAAAGAGCCCTCCTGGTCTGCTGGAAACTCCTCGTCGCTACCACTGCCGCTAGCCTGCGTGGCCACCTCCCTCTCACCTTCCGATTCTGAGACGCTGGACAAAGAGGCTGGGGGATCTTCGTCGATGGACGCTTCGTCTTCAGAGTGGGCTTTGCGCTTCATTACTCCAGCACGACTCAAATTTTAAATATGAATGGATTTTGAGAAGCTGCGCTGCAGAGATACGTGCGATCAGGTGCCGTATCATAATATTAGTAGGTGTAGGGGAATATTTTCAAATCATAGTATTTTCTTTATTAATTACAGCCTGGCCAGAAACCTGGTGAAACATGTGCTTTAAACCTGGTCAATAGTCGCACGGTTATGCACCTTAAACCTGGGCAGTAGGTTTTTCCATTTTGGAACAACAATTGTTAGAAAAAGGGTCAAATCTAATAGTTCAAAAGTATATTTCTCATTATTCCGCCGGGTATCCAATTTTAGCATCATCTATCGGTAATCTATCTGTCATTTATTTGAATTTTATCTTCAGTTTCTGACCTACCGACCAGTGGTAATCTATACGTCATTTATTCGGATTTTATCCAGAAAAACGCTGTTCCAAATTCCACAGTGTCTCTCCTAAGCAAGCTGGCTCAGAAGGTATGATGCCGCTTGAGCAAACTACTGTCTCTTCGACCAAATGCTACTTAAGGAATATTGCAAACCACAAAACATCGCATTCAGAGATCCGATCACACATGTCTGTGCTAGGCAACGCACAAGTCTTAAATGGCAGTGGGGAACTCCAGATCTCCCACAAACTCCAGTGTCGCAAAGGTGTTGTTCGCGTGCGACAGCATATTATGCTCCTTGAGCCACTCGTCGTTATACAGCTTGCTACCTAAGCGAACGCCACCATCAGCCAGGATTGTCACAATGGTATGACCCGGACCCAGTTCCTTCGCCATCTTGACCACTCCAAACATTCAACGCACTGCTTGGACCAACGAAGATACCATCATGCCGCAACAAGAGATAGGCCATGTCGACAATCTCTTGGTTCGTGCCGGTGACGCCTTTGTCGATGATTGCTTCGCGTAGGTTGCTTGTTACACGGGCTAGTGCTGCCACCCCTTCTGCGATGGATGATCCTTTTACTACAGGCAGCATCTCGTAGCCATCCTTGGTGATCCCCGAAGCTCGGTCATTGTTGATGAACATAGCTGTGCACGCGATCTCGGCAGGATCGATGACCCACACCTTCACATCCGGGTTCTTCTCCTTGAAGAACGTCGACATTCCGGCGATGGTCCCTGACGTCCCTGCCGACGAGACGAATCCGTCGATCTCCCCTCCGACCTGTTCCCAGATTTCCGGGGCTGTGCCCTCATAGTGAGCTCGCATGTTCGCGAGATTGTCAAACTGGTTGGGACAGTACGCGTTCGGCATCTCCTTTGCAAGGTGTTGAGCGACATGGAAGAAGTTGTTCTGCTTGTCATCCATCGAGGTCGTAGGCAGCACACGGACCTCAGCACCCATAGTCTTCATCATCTGGATCTTCTCTTTCGCGATAATGTCCGGCATCGTCAGCAGCGTCTTGTAGCCGCGAGACGCTCCAAGCAGAGCGAGCGAGATACCCGTACTACCTCCAGTAGCTTCAATAATCGTGCCTCCAGGTTTGATCAATCCACGTTCTTCGGCGTCAAGGATAAGCGACTTGGCCACTCGATCCTTGAAGCTTCCGCTTGAATTGGCGTACTCAGCTTTGGCTAGCAACTTGCATCCCGTTAGACGAGAGAGTGTGGTGAGCTCCAGCAGCGGAGTGTTTCCAACTGATGCAAGGAGGTCAACGGAGCCAGTCGTTGACAAATTCTTGAGGTTGTTACCGGTAGTGGTAAGCTCAATGAGTAGCACATTGAAAAATGAGCGCCAAAGCGAGGTTTCACTCATGAGGAGCTGAAGGGGACAGGCTCAGGTAGGAGCTAAGGCACGGAGAAGCTCTGGCCATTTATTGCTACTACATATAATATCCAAAGACTTTTCTTAGACTCGAGATTTTCATGTTGGACAACAGCAGATACGACTATTATTTCAGTATCGCTTTCTTTATCTTACTTCGCCCTTGAAATTGTGCGGCGAAAACGAAAGCACATGCCTCGACTCAGCATGGTACAGTTGCATCCAAGTAAAAAATACAAATTAAAAAAGTATGTGTAAGGCACGCATAACGCTATTTTTAATTGCTTTGCTACTTTTTAGCGTCGCGGCGTTTTAAGTTTTTTTTTCGGAAATGCCGCGGCTGAACAAGCGGGAGTTAGAACGGTGCAGACAGAGGCGAGAACAATGGATGGAGAAGCACCTGCCTCGAGTTCACGCAGCTAAGCGTCCCAATGCTGTGTATTTGGAGAATCCTAAAGTGCTGGAGCTGCTTCGACATATTTCAGACGGCCTCAATGAATTGTTAATGGCGAGACCTTTGTCTCCTCTTCCTTGGCTCGCAGACTACTTACGACGAACAGTACGTCGATAATATTATTTTTTTTAGTCGAATGTTTAGATGACCGCTGACGTTTATTCTTTTATTTTTTTTCGCAGTGCAAGCTTGAATACGAGGTTCAGAGCACCGTATCTGAGAGTTTGATCCTCGAGATGCACAGGAAGCGAAGAGTAATACAAAGGGCTCTTCGCGATACCAAGCAGAATGAAACGGAAATCAAGCAGCTGATCCGAAAAATCGTCCTGTTAGAGCAAGACTTAAAGCTTGTAGGTCGAGAACGTCGCCTCAAGAGAATCGATTATGAATTTCTCGAATGGGAGCAACCGTCCGTGCAATCCAACTGGAGTATTGGCCCCACCAAAGTACCTTTATCCACAAATTCTTCTCAAGATCTAGATAATGAGCGTGAGAGACTCTCGCATCAGCTTCGTCTTGATCTGCTAGCTCAGCGCGATTTGGACTCATATTTCGACAAAGTAATCGACGAGATAATTCGCGCGCTGACTAATATGCTTCTAACAGCTCCAGAGAGACCAGCGCTCTGGTTCGTCATATATCTACGTCATCACGTTAATGACAGCGTCCCTACTCCACCAGGGTTGTCCTCTTCCGAACGCAAATCTTCTGTGACATTGGGTGCTGCATCTCCGCAACTTTTTAAGACAAATTTCGAGTTGACACGGAAGCTGGAAGAGATTGAACAAGCTCAACAATCAATGCACACCCGATTTCTGACAATGCAACAAACGTTCGGACAGTTGCAGCAAGAGGTAGCTGTACGCAACAAATTCATCGTTAAACTGTCCGAGTTACACGTGACAACGAGGACACAGGCCATCATGGACGGCACCTCTGTGTTTCTCAACTCACAGAAACATTGGGTTCCACGTGGGTATCTGTTAACTCCGAAAGCTTTGTCCGGCGCTGAGTTACTCGGCTTACGTCGAGCTGAAAGCTTTCTTATGGAAAGAGACGAATTTTATTGGAAATTTTTACTACGAACTCAACTGGAGTACGACTCAGCTACATTAATTCAGAGTGTGTGGCATGGTCGTCGAGCCTTTCACGCCTTTCAAGAACTCTTAAGAAGACGACGACGAGCTGCTACGTTGATCCAACGCAACTACTTCCGTTATCTCTTCACTCGTGCCACTAGTTTGCCTCGTTGGTGTCGTCCTGGACGAGAAGTGATCGTAGCACCCAGTATCGCACAGAAATGCGCCATCTCCTTTCGATTCTACCCCAAGAGAGACTTCCCCGCTGGGAATTATCGTCGAGAACCGAAAGGAACGAGTATCTACGAGCTCATGGAGATAGCGAGGCAGGACGAAATGTGCGCGGGTTTCACGACAGATGGAGCGCTTAAACGCTTCCTCCCGCGCATGCTCTCTCAACTTAAGCCTATGATGTCTTCTCCATCCAGTGCAAATGATGAGGATAACATAGATGAAGCCACACTTACAGCCCAGGACGGTCTCTATGTCAAGGTGTTCCCAAATAAAGACGAGAAGGTCATCAACTCTGCGATAGTCGTGGAGGTTCCTGAGGATCGTTTCGGGTTAGTCCGCGTCGTTCTTGACGGTATTGCGCTCACGGAATCAGTTCCCGTTGCGAAACTCACAGACCGCTGGAAACGCGTTCGAGTTAAACGTACAAAGTCGAAGGAACGGAGGAAAACTCGCGCTATAGTTTTCGGTAAAGGAACGCCTACAATTTTCACGGATGATATCGAGAACGACTCGGCTATCGTCGATCCGGGCACCCCCGACACCACTTATGAACGCATTGAAAGTGACGAAGAGGAGGTTGAGGAGAGTTTGGAGAAAGAATGGCGACGTATAAGGAGACGGAGAAGAAACGAGAACGTTGATGACGATCCGGATTATATCTTTGAAGACTTGGCGACAGGCCGCGTCATGCGTCGTGGACATCCTAATAACACTCACGAAGACCCGATAGCTCGTACACGTGTGATTGCTTCTCGTAAGAAAGAGTACGAGGACGAGAAGCAAAGTCAATTTAGAGCCAGGCAACTCGTTTGTGCAGTGAGAATTCAGTGTGCTTGGAGATCTAAACGAGCACGAGAACATCTCCAGCAGATTTTCGTGCTTCGAGCGAAAGAACGAGAACGTGAACGTCTCGTGGATCAAGTTGGACGACAAGCTAAACCCAGAAAGACAAAAAGAGGGGGTTTGTTTGCGAAATTTCGACGTAGATAACAGAAAAAAAAAACATACAGGATATATATTACTTTCAAGCGAACACGTCACTCGGGTCCTCATTAGCTGTAATAGCTGACTTAAAGAGGCTATCTCCTTTTTGTCCGGAAGAGTAGTCATGGGAAAAAGTCACACTATTCATACGTGTGAGGTCATCTATTCCAAGTCGCTCGTGTCCTTGGATTTTTTCTTCTTCTTCTTGGATTTCTTCTTCTCCGGAGACTCGCCAGCTTCAGCGACGTCCGCCTCGTCAGCGTCACGCTTGTGCTTCTTCTTCTTCTCCTTCTTCTCCTTCTTCTCCTTCTTGTGCTTCTTCTTGGGAGCTTCCTCCTCGTCCTTCGTCTCCTCCGTCACTTCCTCCACCAGAGCCTTCTTCTCGTCCTTCCCGTACAGCTCCGACACGTCCGCAGGCGTGTTCTCGTTCACCTTGCCGTACTTGCCGATCTTTCCCTCCTTCACAAGCCCCTTGACCTTCTGAGCCATGGGACCCAAGCCCCAACGACGCGGGTACGTGTCTCTCTCCATAATAACACGCTTGATCTTCGCCACGACGCCGTGGTCGCATGTAGCCATCACCGCCGTAGTCATCTGAGCAATCGCAACAGCAATAGCCTCGCCCTTAGTGGTCATAAGCACGACCTCCTCGCCCACGTCGATGTCGTCAGCAAAGCGTAGCAGACCCGGGATCATGAACTTGGCACCATAACAGATGGCGTTCACCGAGCTGTCCTTCACCACGATACGCTTGTACGTGGTCAGCAGCACCTCTAATGGGCGTACAATACGTCGCAGATAGGACTCGTCCTTGTATGTGTCGTACTGGAACTGGGCGTCCAATACGTCGTGCATAGTGACCATCGCGTCATTCTCGCCCATAACACCGGAGCGCACACGACGCAGCTCTTGCATGTGGCCTCCGACGCCAAGAACAAGACCCAAGTGCACACACAGCGTACGGATATACGTACCGGCCTCGCAACTCACATGGAAGATACCCAAGTGACGGTCCTCATCGTATTCAATGAGTTTCGATTCGTAGATCGTACGGATACGCAGTTGACGCTTCACAGCGGAAATAAGCGGAGGACGCTGGAAGAGAGCACCCGTCAGTGTCTCAATGGCACGAGCGAGCTTGACTTGGCTCTCGATGGCGCTGTGTAGACGCACAACAGCCACGTACTCCTTACCGGCGCCCTGTTGAGCCTTAACCAAACGGGTGGCACGGTCCACACACACGATAAGGCAGCCAGTGACCTTGGGGTCGAGCGTTCCGGAGTGACCAGTCTTGTCTACGCGCAAGATGCGACGGATCCAGGCCACCACTTCGTGTGACGAAGGGTTCGCTGGCTTGTCGAGGTTGATGACACCGTAACGCACATAGTCGTGCAGGTTACGCTTGAGTGGCGACGAACTGCACGCGATGGGCGTGTAGTGACCCGTGCGGACATTGAGTTGGTGGTAGTTTTTAAGCAGAAGAGGCCACTTGCTCGTGTCCAGAGCGGGCGTGTGGCTCTCCGGGGCGATGAGATCTTTGCCCTCGGTCTCCGAAGCCTTAAGCTTCTTCTTCTTGCTCTTCTTCTCCACGTCCGCAGCCGTCATGACACAAGGGTTACGCGAATTGGAAATGACAGGAGACGGTTGGTCGAGCAGCTTCGATCCGTTGGTCGAGGGAGCGTCTTGTGGACCACGTGAAATGATGTTGGAAGCGTAGGATGACAGGGGTACACTCTGCTACACTTGAATTTTGTATGCCTGTACCCTCGAGACCCATTTTTGCTTTCTCGACACGAAGTAAAATGGGTCGCCAACTTAAGTTCCATGAGCAGAAGCTGCTCAGGAAGGTGGATTTACTGGAGTGGAAGAAGGAGAACAACCTGCATGAGATCAAAGTGATCCGTCGCTACCGTATCCCGGACCGCGAGCAGTACCACAAGTATAACCGCTTAGCGGGACACATCTCGAAAGTTGTGGCAAGACTCAAGAAGCGTCCAGCCAATGACCCATACCGTGTCAAAACTACGACAGCGTTGCTGGACAAGCTGTACAATATGGGACTGATTCAGACGAAGAAAAGTCTGCTGAAGGCCGAGGAGGTCAACGTTTCCGCCTTCTGTCGCCGCCGTTTGCCGGTTGTCATGGTGCGCGTCAAAATGGCTGAGAGTATCAAGGAAGCCACGACGTTCGTGGAGCAGGGACATGTCCGTGTGGGCCCCACAGCTGTGACCGACCCAGCCTTTTTGGTCACTCGACCAATGGAGGACTTTGTCACGTGGGTGGACAGCTCCAAGATCAAGAGGACCATCATGAAGTACAACGACAAGCTTGACGACTACGACCTGCTCGGCAATTAAGCGGGAACACGTGGAAATTGTCTGAGATGAAGGCTGCGACGGTGTAAGAACAGGTTTTATAGATTCTTTACTTGAGAATGCACGTGCTTTTTTTGATGATCGAGGATTTTGGTGTTGCGTCCCATGAAACTGATAAGAATTTGTTGCCGAGCGTGGCTGTTTTGGTGTGGCAATGTGGCAATATGTATTCGATAACGGATTCACGGAATTGCTGGCACGAAGGACTGCAACATCGCGTTGCGGGTTGGTACCCTCAGCCGCCCATTTCGATTCTTACCACCTATTAACGACAACAAGTTCAAGCAAAGATGCGTGGTGTTTCCAGTGCAACAAGTGCTGCGGTATTGCTGATGCAAGTTGCGTCGTGGTGGGTAGGTAGCGATGCTGCTCTCCCGGTTGTAAAAGAGGTCGTGACGGGCACTATTTTTCGCAAGTCGAGCTACTTGACGGTGGACCAATACACGTTGAACGTTGCAGCGTCGACAGCTATTGTGGAGATCGACCTGCTGTCGATGGAGACGGCTGACAACAAGACATTCACAGATGTGAATGCTGACTGCGACTCGGCGTATATTGATCCTCAAGTCTACCTATTCCAGAGACAAACGGACGGGTCGCTGGCCTTCGTGGCCACTAATGATGATACTGGCGACGACAACAGCGTGTACTTCAGTCGTGGACGTACCGATGGGTCAGTATCGGCACAAGATTCCTACTTGATCCGGCAGGTCAGTCAAGGCACCTACGTTCTCGCTGTCGGTCGTTATCCACTGAGTCAAGCTGCAGCAGCTGCTGGTCGAAGCACCGACAGCGTAAATGATTTTTCGCCTTACTTCTGCATGGCACGAAAGGCCAGCTATGGCAACTACAAGATGACAGTGCGCGTGCAGTCAACGTCGACCCAGAACGTTATTGCCAAGAAGGCAAACTCGTATGTTGGCAACAGTTGCAGCGTGCCGTCTTCGGTCACTGCCGAGTGCGCCTACGCGTTGCCAGCGAACATCGGCAGCGACATTCTAAGGACTTGTAGCTACGACAAGACCATTTACTGATCCCATCTTTGTTTTGCATTTACTACACGTTCATAGCTCTTATGAATACAGAACCTCTTTTTTCCATCTTCATTGCAATTGGCATTGGCAATTCGCCAATGAAGTGAGTGTCAAAGGTGAGAGGAGCTTTGACCGTGACTTCAAGTTGGTATCCTTACAAATGTCAAGTCACCATTCGGAAATCCGCAACCTCAAGAGATAAGCAACAAAGACCAACACTCCGACATGCCCAAGGTAAAGCAACTTGTGCGAGACAGCCAAAACATTGTGGCGGACATGGTGGAGGGCATGGCTCTCTCTCATCCGCACCTGGTGCTAGAGCCGAGCGAGCGTGTGCTGTTGCACCGCGACTACGTGGCCATCCGCGAGCGCCAAGTGACGCTCATCTCAGGCGGTGGCAGTGGCCACGAGCCCACTCATGCCGGTTACATCGGCGAAGGAATGCTGACCGCTGTGGTCTGCGGTGGCGTGTTCGCCTCGCCCTCCACGCAGCAGGTTCTAACGGCCATTCGCCTGGTCGCAGGCCCGCACGGCTGCCTGGTCATCGTAAAAAACTACACGGGCGATCGCCTCAACTTCGGTCTTGCCGTAGAGCAAGCCAAGGCTGAAGGCCTCAAATGCGACATGGTTGTGGTCGGAGAAGACGTGGCCGTCGTGAACGCCAACGCAGGACGCCGTGGACTCAGCGGCACCGTGTTCGTGCACAAACTGGCAGGTGCTGCTGCGCAGAAGAAGAAAGATCTGGCAACTCTTGTCAAAATGGTGAGCTGTTTGATATCCGAGAGCAATTTGGGCACTATGGGAGTTGCCATCAAGCCCTGCACTCTTCCAGGCCAAGAAGATACGTCCAGGGAATGGGGAGACAACGAGATGGAAGTCGGACTGGGTATCCACGGTGAGCCTGGTGTTGCCAAATGTGAGCAACAAAATGTACCATCACTCTGCAGAATGTTGGTCGACAAAATCACAGAGCAGTCCTCCGTAGGCCTGGGTCTGCAACAAGGCAGCAAGACCGTGCTTATGGTCAACAACCTAGGATCTACAACTGGAATGGAGCTGTACGTTGTTGCCAAGTACGCCGTTGAGACACTCAAAGCCAAGGGTATTGAACCTGAAAGAGTAATGGTCGGTTCCTTCATGACAGCCTTGGATATGGCAGGCTTCTCCCTCTCACTATGGAACTCCAACGGTGACGTTGAGATGCTGGCTCTATTCGATGCACCCACGTCAGCTCCAGCGTGGACATACTCTCCCTTCGATCTCACGCAATCGACAAGTTCTGGCCCTTTCATTAAGGCGGCAACTCCAGCTCAAGCACAGACATTCAACCGTCCAAGTGAGCTCTCGAACAAGGGACTTTTACTCGAGAAATGCATTCTAGCAGTGTGTGAGACGTTGATCAAGAATGAACCGCAACTGACCAACTGGGACACGAAAGTGGGCGATGGAGACTGCGGCACCACGTTCAAGAATGCTGCTGAAGCCATCGTGGCTGACTTGAAGGCTCATTATCCACTTAATGACGCAACGCAGACGCTGCGTGCTCTTGCAGACTCGGTGGGACGTAGCGCTGGTGGTACTTCTGGCGTGTTGTACGTCATCTTCTTGACTGCTGGCTCGCTGCATCTTGAGAGCTGTAAGGAAGACGACGCTGCGGCGTGGATCGGCGCTTTCCGTGCTGGTACCGCTGCAGTCCAGAAGTATGGAGGTGCGAAGGAGGGCTCTCGTACGATGGTGGATGCTCTGGTGCCCTCGCTTCGTGCTCTTGACAACCCGACTTCGAAGACTGGGGCTGAATTGGCTAACGTTGCAGCCAAAGCTGCGCAAGATGGTGCTGATGCCACGGCCAGTATTTCCACCAAGCAGGCATTCGGTCGTGCTGGATACGTCGGGGAGGAGTTCGGTGCAGGTATTCCGGACCCTGGAGCCAAGGCTGCTGCGTTCTGGATCCAGGCCATAGCAGACACACTGAACTCGAGCTAAGTGAAGAAAGTGATGGTAGCGTGTACAGGGTCAGATTTAACGCAATGAAGTGACGTTCCATGGTAGGTATCTTGAAGCTGTAGTGCCGTCCAGGAGGATCAGCGATGATGACGATAAAATCCTTGAAAGAGCCGAGTCTACCGCGACTCGACCACTCTGGAAGTGACAACAGTTTGACGTCATGGTCTTTGCTGGAGTGCATGTAAGACAACGCTTAGAACTCATCAACCTCCGCAAGCAAAAACACAGAAGTCCCTCTTATAAAGAAGTAAAATGAGGATGGAATACAGTCTTTCAAGCTCGTGTCCGCTAGCGCAGACCATCATATCAATCGCGTCCGGTTAATAGGTACTTGTTCTTGGAAAAGATCTTCCAGCGCCGCGTTCGCATCTCGAAGAAAAGGGTGCTCCAGTACTTGCTTCGGTGTTATCCGTATGTAAGGATCCTTCTCCATCATGAGAGTAATCTGAGCACCACAAAAGTCAAACAACTTGAAATCCTTCTCAGTCCGAACCAGTGACAATGACACGTACCATATCCTTGGCATCATCTGAAATACTGGACCATTCCGGTTCTTCGAACTCAAAGTCAACCCGTTTGTTCATCTGAATAAGCTCATCGTCGTTCACACCGAAGAACGGTTCGTAGCCACACAGCATCGTGTACGCCACCACACCAGCCGAGAACATATCTACTCCACTTGGATACGCTTCACCTTTGCCTGCACATAGTATCTCTGGAGCCACGAAGCCAGGAGTTCCGCATCTGCCCTTCAGCATCCCATCCTTTTGGATAAATGCTGCCATGCCGAAGTCCGCAACCTTGATTACAGCGAACCTGCCAGCAATAAATCACCAGTTAGATACTGGTCACTGACAAAACACATATTCTACTTACTCTTTGCCGCTCGCACTGCACTCAAAGTCCAGTGCGAGATTCGAGAGCTTCACATCTCGATGAGCAACACCATTGCGCTGACAGTAATCAATCGCCCGGACCAGACTAGCAACCAAGAACGAAGCACGCGTCTCGTCCACCGCACTCTTGGTAGCAATCTCTTCGTGTAGATCTCCATCCCTCATGAGCTCCAGCTCCATGACCAGGTGGTCGCGCGTTTCAAACAGCGACTGCAGTCGAATCACCGGACAGTATGAGGAGCCCGAGCGGACCGTCAACAGACTCTGCGTCAAAATCTCGCGCACCACGGTGTCTTCACGTTCTGTGTCACGCGACACCAAGTCCCAGAAGATGTTCTTCTCAATGATCTTCAGAGCACAGTCCTTCGACCTTGACGAATCGTCCCAGCTCTCTTTCCGACGTGCACGGCGTACAATCGAGAAGCGTCCTTTGCCAAGCTCAAAGTTTTTCGCAGACGTCCCAGTCGGCGAGTCCGGCGTGAGATCAAACAAGTCGTCGATCTGCAGCTCCACCGCACGCGTCAGCATTTCTTTCCACCGTCTCGCGTCCTTCTTCGAGTCGAATTGCAGCCACAACTCGCTGCGTCCAGATACTGCTGACGAGTGAGTATTGTACTTGAGCACATACTCGGTCGTGCTGCGTTGATGAGAATGCACAGATCCCTCGTATACATTCGCATGCCCCACCGGTCGACTAGTATCGTTCGCATCCAGATATTCCCATAGATTGTTGCGATACAGCGACAAGTAGCGTCTGCACCACTGACTCCCCGGAACCTTCAGAAGCACCCAGCCAGTAATTGCCATTGCAGACGACTCGGAGCCAGACAAGAACGCGTTTCTCTCTCCACGTAGCTGTTCAAAGACGTCGAAAGGCAGCTCAGTGGCAAGACACGACAGTAACCACGAGTCTGCGTTCCAATGATGAGGAGTTCCCCTTGCATTCGGCGGTGTAAGCTGTCCCAATACCGGTGCGAGGTCCTCACTGGCCATGGAATTGTCTTCTGCGATCACGTTCATCCCAAACGGCGACTGGCGATCCATTTGCTGCAACGAATTGCTGGACGGCCACTGCTTCATGTTGGCAAAGTTACTGCCTCCTCGGACACTCACTTCGTCACCCAGGAACGCGTGTGTACTGTTCGCCATGTTGTTGTTATGAATCGTCGTAAAGCACTTCCGTAAGGCCGTGTCCACGCCCGATCCTCCAGGTGTCGGAGTAGTCGCCGGAGGCATCAACGCACTCTCCAGTAGCGGACACTCCACTGTAATGTGGTTCCCATTACAGTTCGCGCACGTCTGCGAGTCCCTCCGACGACTGTTAGTTCGTGGTAAGCCCTTAGGGAAGAGTGTCGGTGGCAGCTTGAGATCGTCCAGACCTCCGTCCACACCAGGAGGCGACGGGTGGATCACCATGGGAGTTATCACTGGAGAACGCTTCCCACTCTCCTCGAACGACATGGAGTGTGCTCGGTGTCGACCTGCAGCTGCTACGGCAGCCATCACGACGGCCTGGTTGGATTTCTGTCTCGTATCTTCTTCATCCGACTCGCTCGTGCTACCCGATGACACTACGTCGTCAGCATCCAGAAGACTGCCAATCGCATCCGCAGTGACTAGTGATTCTCTTCGGTCAATGTTACGCACACTGTTATATAAATTATCACAGAAAAAGTGAGCTTATCATTGCTAAAAATGAACAAGAGAGTCGCTGTCACCTGATATCTAGCTCGCTCTGGATGCTGTTCATCATGAGGCGCTGGAGTAACATGTCCATCTGCAGTTCCCACGGCTTGTTGAAGAGGGAAGTTTCGCCGGATTTCTGGTGTGGAGAGCTCGTGCCTGTTGAGCACTCGGCGTCTCCCTCTAAGCTGTCATTCTTCTTAAGCGACGATCTGTGTGATGTTGTGGATATGTCAGCGTCTTCGCAGGTCGCGGAGACAACGCTGGCGTGATTTAACTCCCGCTCTGAGCGCTAACATGGCAAAATAAAATAAGTTTTCAAAGGTCAGCACGGACTTCCGAAGACTCTCTCTGTGTACGCACAATTTGAATCTTAACCGCAGTGTGCGTCGCTAAGTTGCCTTTCTTGTGGATGAGCTTGAAGCAACTGACGCAGTAGGCGTCATGGCAGCAGCCGTTGCAGCTCAGACTCGCACGGTGAAGCTCGCAGTAGACACAAAGTGGACGCGGACCATCAGTGATGGCACTATAGTCCTCCGCGTCAGGCTCGTCGCTTGAATCGTTGCCAGCAGGCCCATGTGTGCCCTGCACAAACCATAGACGCCAACTAGCGTTCTCGAGACGCACAGCCTCGTCCACAAAGCGCCGCATGGTGCTGAAGGACTGCCACGACTTCTTGGCAGCCTTCTCGAAGACCGCCACGTCGTCTATCATTATCAGTTGATCCCGGGACTACACAGTGTAGGGAAGATCGAGATCTGCTGAGCCGAGCAGCGTGCGAGGCATCCGGTGGCCGCGTGACGGGATTCCTTCAGCTGTAGTCCAGCACTTCCTCGTCTGGTTCAGGTCTTTATTTCTGCGTGCTGCGCTCATCCTGTGGTATATGATAAGGTGACGCATCGACAGCTTAGAAAATGTTTTCAAGGTTATTGGAATAAAGAAGAAGGTTGAGGCTTGGAAACCACAGACGATTTGCACCTCAGGACGCGATTATCGAAATAAAGAGGTTTAGGTTTTATAAGTCAGATGAAAAACTCGACAACGGCTGACGTACATATAAGTCGAGCCATGGCCACGGACTATTTAAGACAGCTCGGAAAAGGCTCCGATAAGGTTATCATGACGGCATTTAGCCTCCATCCGCGAGCAGTCTACGGCCATCACCGGGATGAGTTTTTCGATGTTACGTCTACGTGGGCGCTTCAAACCAATCATTCGTCGTCTTTGTATAACAACCTAAAGGTGTGAAACTAACGTGAAAAGTAATTTAGTCAGTTCCTAAGGTGCATGATACACATACTTAGCATGGGCAAGAAGAAGGCTGCGTCAACGACAGCTACCCGCAAGACCACCAAGAGCAAGACCAAACCCGGTAGTGCCATCACACGCCGCGAGATCGCAGCATGGGAAGCCGATGAGGTTCCGCCCGCATTGCGCTTCGAACCGCTTCGCAAGTCTCTGCGCGTCAAGCACCTGCACGACGAGCTCATCTACGCCGTGCCGTCCTTCCTGTCGCGCGTCGAGTGCCAGCGCGTGCGTTCCTTCGCGGACCAAGAAGGTTTTGAGCGCGTGACCCAGCGAGCCACTCGCGACTACGCGTTCAGAGACAACGACCGACTGCTACTGCGTCTTCCAGCGTTCGCAGATCTGCTCTGGAAGCGTCTGCAACCGCATGTTCCAGCCGAGTACGAGGGTCTGCATGCTGTTGGGCTGAACCCGGCTATCAGGTTCTATCGGTACAATACGGGGCAGAGATTTGGTTGTCATGTGGACCAAAGTGACGTGGATCGGGTCACAGGCTATCACAGCCGCTTCACTGTGCTCGTGTACTTGAACGACTCGACCGACTCGGACTTGCAAGGCGGCAACACCATTTTCTATGCTAATGAAGCTGACGCCAAGGAGGAAAACCTAGTGCTTAGTGTGGCACCAGAGACGGGTGCAGCACTCGTGCATGGTCACGGCGATCACTGCCTGTTACATGAAGGCGCGTTAGTAACGCGAGGGGCCAAATATCTGCTGCGCACCGACGTCATGTACTCGCGCACGAAGAAGTAGACGACGTTGTACTGATTCTATGCAGAACTCGGCGGCCAGACATAGTGTATATACGTCAAAAGTTTTCTGGATGCGAGGCCCTAAACTAACTGTTCGACGCCAACTCGCGAAGTCTTCTAGCGATTGCGTGGGCGAATGAATTACTCTGCAAAAATAACAATAAATATTAAAAGAAGAGCAGCAAAACAAAACACAATCGAATGCGTACCTCGATGTCGCTGACAACGCCAAGCACTTTGCCGAGTGCTTGATGCACGGTACTCTTGCTGGATGCAGCTTCGGGGTGACTCAGGTAGTGTACGAAGTGAAGCAACAGCACCACAAGCATGTTTTCTACTACGAACGCCAAGCTGTCGGCATGGTACTCCAATACATTCTCCAGCGTTGTGGTGTCGTACTGGGGCTCGCGTCGACGAAGAGAACGTTGCTGCGACGACGCCGACGAAACAGAAGTGGCGCGAGCCGAAGCAGCTTCAGTCTTGAAAGCAGCCAGAGCGTCCACTAGCTGCTTACTCGTCTCCAGAGCAAACACGGTGGAGTCGAACCGCGCAGTAAAGTCGTTCAATGACGGCGCGAGGGTCCATAACGGGTCTGTAGCAGCAGCAAACGCGCGCGGGTCCACCGAAGACATGGATGGAAACTGGTTTCTATTCTGCACTTGTGTCTTGTTCGTGATGGCCAACAACGGAGCTGCCCGACCAGCGTTTCCATCGCCCACTGCAAGCATCATCCGACTCGCACAGAACGCCACAGCATTACACAGGATCATCCGAGACGCGTACAGCTTCTCCTCGTCCAGCATGGACATGTGCAGCAAGCCAGCACTTCCACTGGCCTTCACGGCCGCCGCATCACACTTGTCCAAAATCTTTTCTTCATAATCCACACACGAGAAACGCTGGATGGCTGCGTTGCGCTGCTCCTCCACCGAGTCCGTGATCTTGTTGTTCCACCACGAAGAACCGCTGTCGCTCATTCCATCGGCTTCGTCACTGGGAGGTGCAAGCTCAGCGCTATAGAACAGGAAGACCTGAAGAATCAACTGCGAAATCTTCTCCCACTTCGCCGTCGCCAGGGTTTGTTCACATAAGTCAGGGAACTGAGTCACGTAGCGGAAGACAAACGTCACATACGACAACTCTCGTAGTAGATTCACCGAGGTCGGCTGCGACTGCTGACCACCTGCGCACAGCTTCAGTGCCGACGTGAACAGCTTCCGGTTCTTGTTCACAAAGTAAAGCACCTGGCTAGTAAGAGCGCGGTTCTTCGGTAATGAGGCGCAACATGCGCTCAGTAGACGCGCCACTGGAGCCCACTTGCGGTAGTATACAGTCTCCACGCGCTGGAAAGCAGCCACGGATGCTTCAGACGACGGAGTACCGTTGTGTGGAGCGAGATACTGCGGTCGGTGTGTTGGCAGGTTGCGTGCATCAGACAGCACACGGACCAAGCCGCCTTCCAGCAAGGCCACAGCTCCTTCCTGGGTCTCAGCAACTCGCGCGAACAGCGACAGGAAACACTCATACATCGTACCGATCGTCGTAGCATCCATTCCCTCGGGGATCACACTGCTTTTTACCATACTCGCGTCACCATTGCTTCGTTCAAAAGCGGCTGCATCCATCTCGCTGAGCTTCTTGAAGATGTCGATAAAGTGTAGCAGATAACCACGTTCACGGAAGATCGCAACAAGCGACGACTGGTCATCAAAAGCGATCAGAGACTCTAGCGCCGACACAGCAAGCGCCATACTCAGCGTGTCCTCGCCATCGCTTGCATCTCGGCATACCAGATCAACAACCTGGTTGGTGAGCAGATGTCGAACACGCTGCTCCTGGCTGAGAATCGAGCTCGCAAGGCCAAATTTCGCAGCAGAATCTTGAGCAGCACGACTTGGCAGCACATGCAGCACTTGAACGGTGCACGAGTACAGCAATGTCCGAGAATTACGCGCAGCTGACGGGTTTCCAGTTGCCGCCGCGCTACTGTAGATAGAACGGAACAGCAGCTCCAGAAAGCCCATATTCTGACGTTGTCGACTCTCCGGCAGCGCGTGCGGTTGACTGCCGTCATTGTTGTAGCTGAGCTGCGAGAAGAGCATCAACGCGATCCTCGAGACGATCTCAAATAGCTGGGCAGAAGCACTGGTCTTCTCAATCAGTTTACTCAGCACAGCCGACACAATGCCACTCATCAGCTCCTGTCGCACTTCAGCAGATGCGACAGCATCTAGTCCCTGCCACATCGCTGGTGTTTCAAGGCCTTCTTGTTCGCGAGACAGGGCAAGGTAGTCCAGCACAATCACCTCCATCAGCTCACGCAGCGAATTCAGCGCGTGACTCTCGGCAGAGATCCGCTCCGAGTAGATATTCCACTGCACAGCCCACTGAATGAACCTCTCCGCAGCTGCTTCGGTGCTGTTCTGACTACTGGTACTGCTTGTACCGTCGCCATTCACACGGAATCTCTTGCTAGACGACGAGTAGTAATCGCCCATTCCATCCTCAGTTGCCGTCAGATCAAGCGTCTGCAATGCCTGACAGAAGCGCTCAACATCGATCCTTAGCCACTTGTAGTAGCAGCCCTGCTCCACAGCTGCAGTCACCTGTTCAGCCAAAGCCACAACCTGCTGGTTCGCCGGTACGGGGGGTGGCGAGATGTGGAAGGAGCATTCATCCAGCAACTGTAGCAGCAGCATTTGTTCTTGCCTCGCAATGACACGATCATTGCGACTGCCTGTCGATACCGACAGCAACTGTCCCATCAGCTTGTTAATTTTCTTCATGTGCGGAGGCTCCTTGTGTAGTCCCACATGTAAGTACACCGCTAGCGTTTTGAAAAACCATCCGCGCATGTTCAACTCAGCAATCGTAGCAGCGGCCGTCTTCCTCCTCGTTACATGGTACACACGGCTGAACAGCTGGATCTGAGATGCGAAATAGTCATTTGGGACACTTTCCAGAGCTGCGATAGTGTTAGGAGACGAGAACTCTTGCGTGATCAAGCTGTGGAGCACGTGATAACATCGCTCTGCCAACTCCGGCGTCTCCAAGCCAAAATCTGCATTGGACACAAGCGTAATCAGAGCAGCGAGACCTGTCTTCATGTACGAAGTTGGCACAGGTCCAGCCTTCGAGTCGCCATATTGGTTGACGTTGCCTAGCAGCAAATGTGCCAAGTTAGGCGCTGGCTTGTTCAAATTCTCAAGTAGCAAGTCCAGAATGGCGGCGCGGATGGAGGGTGGGGGCGTTTCTTGGGTAAATAACTCGAACGGAGACGAGAGAGTGCGCGTGTCTTGGTGCTTCCTTCTTCCAGATGAGTGCAACTCGTCTTCAGTGCCAGTCCCCGTCTCGTTCTCATCTTGATCGTTTTCATCGTCATCGTACACGTTCAGTAAGCGGTTCATGTAGCCGATCATGATGTCTGCACTGGATCCACTGTCGATAAGTAAATCCACGAGATCCGTTCCACTCATACGCGCACTAATCATACGTAGAATCACTGCCGACAAGTGTGGAATGTGTGTCGACTTGGAGTACTTGATGTACTTGACAATGTTCACAAAGTCAGCGCGGTGACGACACAAGATTGTGTGCATCATTTCCACTTGGAGGCGGAGCGAAAGCTGGCGGTTCAGGTCGATGTTGACGAATTGTACGTCCTTCTCCAGCACCAAGACCACGATTTCGAGTGCATGTTGCACACAACGCTCGCGCAAGGCAGCAACCGCCGTAGTTTTGGTCAGATACGTGTCGCTAGGCTTCTTCGAAACGTCAATGACGAAATTCAGCGAGCCGTGCTTGGCCTCCGTCTCACGCTTGACAATGTCCAGACAGTAAAAGAAGGCGTGCTCGAGATGCATGTCTGTCGACGTACTCTCTAGGTTCTCAACACCTCCATCGCCCGAGAGGATAGACAGTACCTTGTTCAGCAATGAGTTGCTCGACAAGAACCGAGCCAGAAGTTGGTATGACAAGCTACCTTCCGTCGTCGAAGTGTCGACATTCCGCAGGATCTTCTTAAAAATGGCCAGCGCGCCGTTCACCAGCGCCCACTTTTCTTCTTCCCGCTCGTATTTCCGCAAATCAAACTTCAAGATCACGTGCTCGAGCAAGAACTCGAAGTAGAACTGGATCGCTGCGACACGGCCATCGCCTTCAAACGACTTCCAGGCGTGAGGGTTCTCAAAGAGCTCGTAGAGTAGCGTAACAAAACCTCTTGTCGCAGGGTATGTTCTGCTCAGTGACTCGTAGTGCTCGAGTTCATAGCTGATATCCTGGGTGCCGTACACCGACGTGTCCCCCGTAGTACGTAGAATCTGCAACGCGTCTACTTGGCGCCACACAAATGGCGCAATATCCGGCACACGTGCAAAGGCAGCTAGCGTCTTCATAATTGATCCCTTGAGCGAGCTGGGAATGCGACACTGAAGAAAAGCCACGAACGTTGGGATCGGAGACCAGTCGTGATTGTGGAAGAAGATAAGCGCCAACTGAGGGTCCGAAATCACTTCCTGAATCAGTTTCTGAATGGTTTCTAATGCTTCCAGTTCCTTGGGGCGAATAAATCGGGGACCAGGATTAGCTGCGCTGCTCACACTGCCAAAGGTGCTGCCGTCGATCCCAACTCCCTGAGCAACACCAAGTGGCGAATACCCGGTGGGCTTCTCAGCTTCCGTTAGAAGTCGCTGGTACTTTGCCATTACAGCAAAGAACTGATCCCAACCAAGCTGCTGTGGGTTCTTCTTGATGTGATGGAAAGCCTGCTGCGCGCACTCCGGTCCGCTACCAGCAGCAGCGACCAGACGCAGGTACGACGCGATGCATCCAGGGTTCTTGAACGCAGCATCACGACAAGCGAGTAAGAAATCGTGGCAGTTTCCATCATCAACGCTGCTAGAGAGTGGCTCGGGCTCGTCTCCTGCGTTGTTTCCGGTGCCGCTGCCATTGCTGTCATGAAAGTCGAGCTCCTCGTTCGTTCCACGCCAAAATGAGCAGCAAAACGCTGCGTTGCGAGCACACAATGCCGTCGCAAAGTCGATAACATTCTCGAGGCAATCGCCAGTCCAAGCGGCTACTTCACCGTCATTTTCCGATTGCATAGCAGCAATAGCAGCCTTGTCAGCGACAGTCGGCACGTCGATCATCATCTTCGACGAATAAGTACGGAACAGCAGCTCAAAGTTCCGCTCGTAAATGTTGTACAGCCGCAGGTCACGCTTGCGATCCGGTAGATACTTTAGCTGCACTTCAACTAACGTATGAAACACGCGCTCTTCGATTGCCTTTTTGACTACGCTTGTTGCATCATCTGCCTCAGCAAAGCTCACGTTACTGTTACTGCTGTTATCATTATTGTTACCAGCCAGGAAGCCAGCCCACATAAGCATTGCGACGCTCTGAAGACCCCGCTGTTCCCATTCCTCCACGAAAAAAATGCGGTGCAGCTCCGTCACCACTGAAGCGTGTTCTCGTCGGCACAAAGAAATGCCCATCTCCATGTCACCAGTTTCGCGATCCATTTTCCTGCTTTTCTGAAGCAAAACCACGAAAAGCGCCACCTGAACTGCCGTAATAGTCTGCAGCATGCAGGACACCTGTCTCACTGCCCCTTCCGGCGACGTTCCTGCTAGTGATCCACCTTCAAACAGCTGCGCGAACGACGAGAGGTTCACAATATGCGGCGACACCTTGGCCACCACAGTTTTTAAGCGTCCACACAACGTCTTCAATAATTCCGCAAGCTTCTGCACTTCTTTTGCCAATGTCAGCGTGCTGGATACGATAAACACCAGGCAATCCGCCACCAGCGTGTGCCAATAGCTCACACTCTGCTCCATCCTGGCTACTTGTACAAGCTGTGTCAGCTGAGTGTCAAACGCTGTCACCAAGTTGGTCAGCAACTCCTCCGTCAGTAGCTTGTTAGTAAACGACACGATGAACTGCGCACGCTGCTTGTCCAGCTGCGTCTCGAGTCGCAGGCGCAGCAACTCCTTGAGGAGATGCAGCTTGTATTCCGTCTCTGAGGTCAGGAAGTAGCGCGCTGCGTTCTGTACCGAGTTCGCAATAGTGCCAGGAGGGAGCTGGTCCGCACGTTCAACCCACTCGCGCTGTTGCTGCTCGCTGGCCATCAGCCAAAACTCAAAGCACGTCTTCTCGCTGGCGCGAAATTCGTCACTGAGTTTGCAAATCTCTTGCTGGATTAGTGGCGACACGTCTACGTGCTTGCCGGCGACGTTGACCGTGTTGGCTTGAAGTGCCGCGCGCTCCGAAGCGCTAGGTGGCGCCAAGGCCAGAGGCTGCAACAGCTCCGGAGCAGCAGCCACTAGCTCCGCCATATACTGCGGTGCATCATCGTCCGACATGCTCTGCCCCGCAAAGGCCAGCAGATCCTGGTGCAGCTGCCGGAAGCGCAGCGCTGGCGCATCCGCGAGCGACAGGCTCTCGCTCATGGTAGCCGATCGATTGTCTGTTGGCTTGTGGGGGGATTGGATTGGCGCGGAAAGCTTTCGTACTTAATCGAAAAGATCATCACTCCGACAAAAGGTGGCCACATTGCCTGCACTCAGATTAACTTGAAGGAGAAAGATGAGGAAGCTGCGTATCTTGTCGTCGGTGGAGGCGGCAATATGTTGGCTCATTCTCATTTCCGCGCTGTTCTCTTTCTATGAAGCCGATCTCCTGTGTCTTGCGGCTAAAACGCGGCTCTCATCGCCCCCCACGACGTTCCGGATCGACAACAAAACTAAGATCAAAGACATCTTCAAGTGCTCTGGTATCCACTTCATCGGCTCCTTCAACGAGTATTACGTGGCCTGCGAACTGAAGGTGCCTGCCCAAGAGAATATCACACTACTTGAGGTTGTGAACGTGAAGCTGGATGTCTCGACACTGTCACCCCTTCCAGGTGTCCATGTAGAACTGACATTTCAACTAAATACGAGTCTAGCCACAGTGTCTATGCGCAACAGCCAGCTACAGGCCAGCGCTGTAGAGATCCACGCGGCCAACGTATTAATGGACGAGCACTCGACTGTGAACGTGTCGGCTCACGGACTCAAGTTCGGGCCGGGATACAACTCGTGGACGTCCATGGGAGGCAGCTACGGCGGCATCGGTGGCGCATCTCTCACGCCAACTCATCGAAAATGTGAAGACATGCCACCTAATGATTTCTTTCGAGTGGTGGGCGATGTATCGGCGGATTCTGCTAATTTCCGAGGCTATGGTAGTGGCGGAGGCAATGATGAGAGCCGCGGAGGCGGAAGAATCCGATTAATCGCCCAGGAGAACGTGGACATCAACGGCTCACTGCTGGCTAACGGAGGTGATGCCTGCACTGACTGCTACGATAGTGCTGGTGCAGGAGGCAGCATCATTGTTGCCGCTAAGGAACGCATTCATGGCAATGCGACGGTGCAGGCCAATGGCGGTGAGCCTAGTAACTTTAATGATCATGAATTTACTGGTGGGGGAGGAGGCGGTGGAGGCGGCGGTGGGCGGATTGTGCTTGATTCAATGAACGCAGAAGAGTTAGGACCCGCTCGTGTCGAAGCGTATGGTGGAGGCTTGAGCTCAGACAACAACGCAGCGATTGGATGGTGTCAATTGGGAGGTGACGGCACGATATTAAAGCTGCAACATTCGACGAAGGATGATGGTGCTCTTGATGGCAGTGAGGAAAGTGAGCGCGTGCTTTACAACAGCAAGACTCTTGTGAGTACTTTGCTTGTGAAGGGGGGTCGATTGGCACATTTGGGACCAGTGAAGCGAATTCAGATCTACGGATGCACACCGATATTCGAGGAGACGTCCAGGGGTGCGCGATTCTTACCAGAATCTCTTGTGCATGTATTCGTTAGAGGTGGAGCTACAGTATGTGCGTCAGTCATCCAGCTGAAGGTAACGCGCGAAGTGTCCTACTAGCTCGTGGCAAGTGTGTTGATGTCTAACCCCTTGACTGTGTGGTTACAACCACTTTCAGGATAGCGTCGGAGGCATTGAAAGCTCAATTGTGGTAAGGAAACGTGGAGGCTATCGCCAGAGCTTTACGTAATTGAAACTGATGCTGTCCTCTGCTTGATCAAATGACAGCTCGACTCTGGATCGGAACTCAATGTTCTTGGCCGCGAACGCAAGATTCTACTATCAGCGTCACAACTCACACTGCAGGTATCCCTACTATTCCAACACATTCCGTGCGTAATAAAAATTGACGTGCTACGTTTTGCTGTTTAAACAGGGTTATGTAGGACCTTCTTCGCCCCAGGAACACGACTTGTTTGACTTGACGCTTATTGGGGCGGACGTGTCCTTCTCGAATGCATTAACAATGGTTCATGAACTTGAGGTCGATGCTCACGGTGCGCTATCCCTTGACAAGTTTTCAGAACTCAAGTTTCAAGCGCAAGTGAGTATCCAAACAGAGGCATCGACCAAGATAGAAGGTTTTCTCCAGCCTTTGGGCAAACCCTTGGATTCTGTTGATAGACCGGACGGTATTCCCTTGATAAGCGTGACAAGCAAGAAAGACGTCGAGCTTCGCCCGCAAACAGTGGAGATGGGTCAAGTTGAATTGCGAGTCAAGGCCAGCGGTACATGCTTCCTCGACATGCCATTCGATACCCCCTTTCTGAGGCTATCGATTTCCGCAGCAAATGTGTCCATCTCCAACGTGAACAGTGGTCCAGTGCTGGAATGCAACGAGATCGAGCTCCAAGCCGACGCGTCTGCTTGCAAAAGTTTGCAAGACTCAACGCATGACGACCAATCATATTCGATCAGCGTGTTTGCGTCGGAGGTAGCTACGCTTGGGAATATCTCTGCTGGGTCTATGATTCTGTGCAGTGACCACAATATGACTGTCGAAGGTGCGATTTCCAGCTCGTGGCTTGGGTGTGGCTCTGGAATAGGTCCTGGCAAGAGCGAAGTCTCGGGTGAAGCTAGCGGCGGCGCTGGCCATGGTGGAAGAGGAGGAAACGTTTTACCGGGAAGCACAGGTGGTGGCGCAGCCTACGATATATCAAAGGAGCTTGTCATGCAGCAAGCAGCTAGTTGGATCGAACCGATGTCTGTCGAAAAGGGGTGGCCGATCTGGCCTGGCAGTGGCGCTGCAAGTGGCGACACCCCGAATAAAGTCAGTGGTGGTAGTGGGGGTGGGATTATCTACATTGGTTCAAAGAAGCTAAACGTGACCAAATCGGCGTCAATCTTAGCACGTGGAGGAGCTGGTTCCATGGGCGGTGGTGGTGGATCCGGCGGATCACTGACTCTGTTCATTGCAAATATTGCAGGCGGGGGTACCATTGATTTAGCAGGAGGTGCAGCATCGACACCGGCATTAATCTTCACCGATGTCGAAGTGGCAAACCGAACACCAATCTGGGATCCAAATTTGCATCCTGGGGAGGTTAAAGACGACGCTGGGAAGCTAGGAGGTGGTGGGGGAGGAGGGATCGTTCGTATCACGTACGTGGATTCAGCAGACAAGGCAATCGCTGGCAACGGAGAGGAGTTTATCAAGGATGGAGGGCGTATTTCAGTGGATGGAGGTGAGAGCACGGGAGGTGAAAATGGTGGCACAGGTGTCATGGTCGGTGCCAATTGTCATCCAGGGCGGGGTGGCGTTTTCTGCTTGCCATGTCCGGAAGGAAGTCACAGTCCCGGACGATTCTCTAAGTGTTCGCCATGCGAGCCAGGCACCTGTTCAGGCAACAGTGGCGCTGAAAAATGTGATGCGTGTCCCGTTGGCCATTTCAATCCGGATTTCGGGAAGAAAGAGTGTCAGTCATGTCCATTGGGGTCTTTTGGTGCCAAAGTGGGATTAAAGAAATGCAAATTGTGCCCACCAGGTTCATTTGCAGGAGTGACAGGGAGCAGTACTTGCTCCGCTTGTCCTATTGGTAGCATCACGACCTCGTCTGGCAACAGAAACTGCACGTTATGTGGAATTGGAGAGACCACAATAAAAGATGGCGCGATTGCATGTGCTACCTGCAAGAACAAGCCCGTTCACTCAGCGTTTAACATGCGCGGCAGTTGCTCATACGCCTGCTTCAAGGGCCGCAATGGCCTGGACTGCTTGACACCGTTCGAACGTTTGGTAAAGCCAATCGGTGGACCGATAGGTTTTGTCATTCTTGTGTTTGCCGTCACTGGTCTAATCTTCGGTGCCTGGGGATTTTTCTCGTATCGAAGCTCCAAGTCCGAGCTGCATCGCTATGCGCAGTATAAGGCCCAGAGACTTCGTGATGAGCTATCGTTGGAGACGTTGACACGCACGTTAACTGCTCGTCTAACTGATCAAGATCTGAACGCTCATGTTGCTCGTCTGTATCTCGCGGGAGACAATCACCTCAAGAATGCGTGGCGACTAAATCCGTACTTCTTGCCTGCGAGCCTACGTGACATCGTTGAAGAAGGCACCTACGCAACTTTTGCCTCGACGTGCAACAAGATGGTGGAGTGGGACCCTACAAGTTGGGAAGCGTGGCTGTATCGATTCTTACTGGTCACTATTCCCCCTATTAGTACGTTCTTCATGCGTCGGCGTCAACTGCATCGCGTTGTGAAGCTCTCCAAGTACATTGGTCGGTATGGGGGTCGTTTCTTTCGCGATGTGAACTTCCGAGTACATGGCACGCAGCTGAAAGTTGGATTCAGTCCAGATTTCTCACTCGGTTATTTCGACGTCCTGATTTCGCAGTCAAGTTCTGCTACATCCGTGAATTTGGTTGCCATGCAAGCTGTCAGTCTTGAAGATCTGGTGCTTGTGGTCGGTGGTAGCGGATCATTCTTTAGACCATATCACCTCGACACGAATGATATTATTGTGCGCGCCATCCCTTCCCGACTGGAACTACTGGAGCATAACTTCTGGATCGACTTCGTGGCAGATATAAATCAAATGTGCGTGTACTACCGCAGCCGTCGTCCACTGCCCGACGTGTGAGTGAGGCTGTTGAAGCAGCTCGCGTTGTTATCGCATTCGTTGAAGCGTTTAACGAGACACACGTAAAAGATGGTTTTGCCGTGGCGTTCGGGACATTTTCGGTTGGTGGAGCGATTGCTGCCGATGCAAACGATAGCTGCTTCGAGCCTTTCACGCTGGAGAACATCGACACAACCATCGCATTGTACCCGCAGGAACCGTTTAAGTTGGCGTTTCGTGTTTCCAGATTGAATTCCAAAGAAGTTTCACATTCAAGGAGAGAGTCGCTGGACAGTGGATCCGATTTCCCTGAATTGCCCTCCGAAGAGAGCGACAAAGTGAGGGCCGAGACAGACCCTCGATCTGCGAATTTCCGCTACTCGCAGATTCGAATGGAAGCTCTTTTCGCGCAGCCTGAGCGTCGCTTGCTTGGTAATTACGCTGATAATTCTAGCGACAATAGCGACAGTCTGACACCACTCAAGAAGCCTCGTATTGGTGGAGCACGTGCGAGAGCATTCGTGGAGTTTCTGTGTACAAATGACACAGCGAAGCGATGGCTCGCGACTCTGTGGCAACCAGTGTATCCTCTTTTCCGGCTGCGCAACTTATCGCGTCCTAAGCTTCCTGCTCGCTGGTTACTCTCCGTGCTGATGGTGTTGCTTCTTATCGCAGACATGGGTGTGGTCTTCTGGATCATGGTGGAGTATTATTGTGTTCAAATTCGTGACCCCACAGCCCAAGATCCAGGTTGCTCTCGGGTACGTGCTATCGCGGCAGTGAAGAATGCATACAACGTGTCTAATGCTGTGTAATTTGTACTTACAGACACCACTTTGGTCAGTTCTAGGCGTCTTGCCTGCCGCTATCGTCGGCTCACCGATGCTTGGACTCATATTCGTCACGAAAAAGAGCATTTTCTACGGAAAGCTCTTCGCAGTGTGGAATGTCAGCTCTATCGTGAACCAGATGGTAGCTTTCATCTGCGGTCTTGCATTTCTGGCATACATTCACGACGAAATCCTTCTGGTAGCGGTCGGAGGCGTGCTTATCAAGTTTTTCGAGAAGGAAGTGGCATTGCGGTGCATCGCGCAGTACGCGAGCGAACGGCCTTTCCGAGGATGGAGAGGCCTACATACCACACGGGACTGGTATGATGCTGCTTACACACCCTTAGTGCATCACGAGAACTAAGGAGGAAATAAAACGTTAGATGTAAGTTTGAAAAGAGAAATACACGTTATTTGCGTATTAAACAACCCATTTCTATTTACCATCGACGCGAGAACAGCTTCATATAGAAATAAGTGACGACGAAGACGATGACAAGCATCGCCACAAGCCATAGAGACGTCCACAGCCCGATACTGGAAGCTAATTGCTCCTTCAGCTTGGCATTCTCGCGATCCAATAGCGCCGTGTTCGACTCAGCGCTTTGTCCTACATCGTCCAAGATCTTGACATCCTCCGCAAGTGACTGGTTGATGGTCTGCGTTCTGTCCTTAAGCTGCTTCGCCAGCGACATCATCTCGGACTGAATTGACTCCTGCTCTTCACGCGCCACCGTCTCAGATGCAGTCGCTTGTGCTCCCGAGCGATCTACTAGGCCCAGGCGCTTCCTGATGGCCTTGGTCGACAGCTTTTCCTCCTGGGGAGCTGCCACCTCCAGCATCGACTTAAAGTCGTCCGCACTCAGATCTGTGCGCAGTTCGGGAGTCACTACGACCTCCTCCTTCTTCACCTCTGAGCTAGGTACCGAATCCTCTTCTTGGGTATTCGCAAGAGCTGTAGGCTTACGGTAGATCGTAGCAGTCTTGGCTGCATGGGCGCGCTTTTCGCACAGCTTGGAGATCTCTGAGGCTCGTGGAAATCGTCGTGGCGTTGACGCATCCTGCTCCTTCTTAAGCTCAGCTATGTTTGTCAATACAGGCGACAGCTCTGGCTCCAGAGTCTTTAACACGTCGCTGTTTTGAATGAGCTGCTGGAAGTGAAGCGCTAGTTGTTGATACTGAGATTTGGCCACGCCAGTAAAAGGATTAGAGATATTTTCGATAGGTTAAAGAGCGATTGAGATATGCTTTTACCTGTGTTACGATATCGCTGTCCAAGGGTTCCTTCTTACTGGCTTGCAGTCGACCCCACGCCGCTAGGAAGCGGCGGCAATCGACGACTTCCGAAGTCGGTGTCATTGTTTAGAAATGTGAACCAAAATGAATTTGGTCCCATCCTATTTTCCCGTCAGTATTTAGCTTTGGTGTGTACGGAAATGATGATACCACTATGCACGTTGAAAGCAAGACCATCATATTTCATATTGCTGTCTTAACTATTTTAAGAGCTATCATCCCAGTAACGATATGTTTGAGTTAAAAAGTGTAAATCATCGGATATATTAAGTTTAATGGAGCCGATGTCGATGAGGGATTTACGTGCAGCGAGATCCGGTGCATCTTTGCGTGTTATCTCTCGCCAGTCTTGTAAGATCTCTCCATCATGGGGAGCATCGTCAAAACAAGTGAAAATGTACCGATAATGACTGGGAAACTATGACTCCGTTGTGGACCTGGATCCAAGCTTCTTGGCAGGTATCGACGATGCCGTTTTCATCGCTCTGTCCACCGGACTACACGTTACCCAAAGCCATCGTCACGCTACGTAAACTCTGTGTACATGTAGCTCCTCAGTCTGAAGAGCTCCGAACCAAATGTCAACCGCGCGACGTCGCAGCCGCTTCTGACGTTATGGAGCTCGCGTGGACAATACATGTACTGATCGTTTCAGCGGGGACGCTGCAGTTCTCTCCGTTAGATGAAGCTGCGCGGGCTCCACCGCAACGTCTACGTGGTATTCGGCCCGACATGATCTCACGGAAGCAAATGCAACTAACACAGTTTCCGCGCAGTGCAACGCCTACAAAACGAGAATTTCGAGCTGCGATCGCGGTGGTCATCCACCTACGCTCACTCCAATGTGTCCGAAGCAAACAAGTCCACCCTTCAAACAATTCGTTGAAAAAACCCTGCCGTCAGCGAAGTATCCACTCGCGGACCCACAAATTGCAGCACGAAGTCCGCAGCTCTATGGACTCCATACATGTACATTATATTAAAGTATGGAGGTCATCCCTGCAAAGCATTTTGGCACACGCCACGAAACGCCGTGCTCGCATCACAGACGGAGAGACCATCATTTCTGCGAGCCAGGCTTAAGAGTTCTGTACTGCGCTGAACAGACAATTACTTAATCTCATTTCGAGTGTCTCTTAAATTAAAGAAAATAATTGGAGCAAAGCAAGCCGCCGCTCCATAATCTCCTACCAGAAGGTCAAACGCTGCGTTACTTTTGATCTGGATCCCATTTTTTAGTCTCAACAAGGCAATCGCTCAGAAACCGCTGCTCTGTTCATCTGACTTTAGGGTAAGGGAAAGACATCCATCACCCATATATAAGCTCCGAGCTCCCACATTTACGAGTGATATCGTCCTCGACACTCCTAACAACGACCATTCTGGCAACAGCTGTTTTCTATCAACTGTTGTCCAGGAGACGATGTCACGGCCGACATGGAGCTCAGCTGTTTGAAGCGCATTCCCCCTCTTGCCAAGCGTCTTGGGCATTGACCAGCAGCCGAGGAAAGGCCAGAACTCTAACGGAGACAGTCTCACGCGCTAGAGCGTACCAGCTGACCAGGTAGGTGAGAGGGCCTGCCCGGGATAGCTCCTTCCAGTAGCGAAATCCTTGAGAAGTCAGCGATGCAAAAGAACGTAGCGCCTAGTGTTACCGTTGGGGCGCGCTGCTACATTCCGGACGACGACGCAGCGTGGCTCCCTGTGTACGTCGAGGAAGTGAACGAGGCAAAGAGTCTCGTGATGGTCCGGATCCAGCGTCCTCGTAAAGATCAACAGAACGAGGACGCCGCTGATCATGACGACACTGACAGGACCGGAGAGAGTCGAGTCGTGGCTATGGACGTGGGGTTCCCCCTACAGAACGCACAGCTTTCGCGTTACGACGAAGGCTTGGACAACATGATCGATCTGAACCATCTACACGAAGCTGCAATTCTACGGAACTTAAAAAAGCGTTTCCGAGCTCGAATGCCATACACGTATACAGGAGATATCTGTCTCGCTGTAAATCCGTACCAGTGGTTAGATGCGCTGTATACCCCTGGCCTTCACAAGAAATATCTACAGGCTCGCAAGCGACAAGATCTGCCACCCCACGTATACGCAGTGTCCGTAGCGGCTTTCAGACATATGTGCGATAGTGGCAGCAACCAAAGTATCCTCGTGAGCGGAGAATCCGGCGCTGGAAAGACCGAGACTACCAAAATCCTAATGGACAATCTGGCTACTATTGCATCGGCACCTACCGCCACTGCTAGCGACCAGGAACACAGTATTACGACACGAATTATTCAAGTGAACCCATTGCTCGAGAGTTTCGGGAACGCGAAGACGACGCGCAATGACAACTCGAGTCGGTTTGGCAAGTTCACGCAGCTGCAGTTCGACAAGAACCACGCACTTTGCGGAGCTCAATGCGAGACGTATCTCCTCGAGAAGACTCGCGTTATCTCCCATGAACGTGGTGAGCGCAACTACCACATTTTCTATCAACTTCTTCACGGTACAACGGACGAAGAACGAGACGCATTGGGCCTTGGAGACGAAGCTCCAAGGTTCTCGTACCTTGAGGAAAAGGAGCCTCAACAAGAGAACCGTCCAGGACGGAAGCCAAAGCTCAGTCAGCCGCCACCACCAAGACCCGCAGCTGTGATTGAAGCCGAGAACGCCAAGGACCGAGCTCTGTTCTCCAAGACACGCCAGGCTCTGTCGTTGCTCGGCCTTGCCCCTGAACAACAGAACGATCTGTTCCAAGTCCTGTCGGGCATTCTGCACCTTGGTGAGGCTCAATTCGTCGCACAGCCCGATAATGACGAAGCTTGCGACTTGGACAAAGACTCAGTGGTCTATTGCAGCACGCTACTAGGCTTGAACCCCGAAACAATGGCCAAGGCGCTGACTCACCGTACGATGAAGGCAGCTGGAGAAGTGTATCTGGTCCCACTTACTGTCGAGCAAGCCACGGCCGGACGTGATGCCCTAGCGAAGGCTATCTACGCCAGTATCTTCGACTGGTTAGTAGCTGGAATCAACGCGAGTTTGGGCGCTGCCGCTCGACTCACTGCGAACACGATCGGCGTCCTGGATATCTTTGGCTTTGAGAGCTTCGAGCACAATTCCTTCGAGCAACTCTGCATCAATTACGCGAATGAAAAGCTACAGCAAAAGTTCACACAAGACGTGTTCAAGGCAGTGCAGGAGGAGTACGAACGCGAGCAGATCACGTGGGCGCACATCGCGTACGCTGACAACAGCGAGACTCTGGCTCTCATCGAAGGTCGCATGGGTGTGTTAGCTCTATTAAACGAGGAGATTGTACGTCCTCGTGGCAATGAAGAAGGCTTTGTGAGTAAGCTGTCGGGGGCGTATCTGAAGCAGAAGACGCTGATTGAGTTCCCACGCATCTCCAAGACGCAGTTCGCGATCCACCACTACGCGGGTACAGTCAAGTACGAAGCGATGGGCTTTTTAGAGAAGCATAAGGACGCTCTACTATCGGATTTGTCGGATCTCATGTGTGGCAGTCACGAAGCCTTCCCCCAGATGCTGTTTAAGGTCCGAGCAGAGATCGAAGCTGCAGCTGCTACAGAGTTAAAGCGCTCGAGTTCTGGACGGAAAACTGGAATAGGAGGGGACAAGACGGTGGGGATGCAGTTCAAGCAGTCGTTGAACTCGCTCATGACCAACATCAACGAGACAAACGTCAACTACATTCGCTGTATTAAGCCGAACAGCAGCAAGAGCTGTACAGCCTTAGAGGACAAGATGGTGGCCAACCAACTACGTTGTGCCGGTGTCATTGAAGCCGTGTGCATCGCTCGTGTTGGGTACCCGAACCGTCTACTACACGCTGAGTTTGCCGAGCAGTTTGGCCTGTTTTTGAAGGAAAAGGAGCAGAACCAGCTCCAGGACGAGCCGGAGAAGTACGGTGCTCCTTTCTGCCGAGATTTAGTGAAGCGGTTCAAGCTGGAGATGCCTGAGGAGTATCAGATGGGTGCGACCAAGATCTACCTGCAGAAAGGTGTGTTGGAGAAGCTGGAGCACGCCAAGGCGCAGAAACTCTTTGCCTATGTGGCTCTCATCCAGGCGCAGTGGCGTGGGATGCGTGCGCGTTGTCAGTACTACGAGATGCGCGACGCGTTGATCGAGATCCAGCGTCAGGCGAAGGTTTTCGTGGCGAGATGTGGCTTCATCCGAGCGAGACTGGCGATTGCTTTGATCCAACGCGTGTACCGTGGACACGTGGGACGCTGCGAGTTCCACGCGGTGCGGTGTGAACACTGCGCTCTCGAGATCCAACGTGTGTGGCGTGGCCACCAGGGACGCAAGATTCACTTGGCGGTTCTGTGTGAGGTTCGAGCCAAGCGGATCCAGCGCATGTGGCGTGGCCACAAGGGACGTGCGGTCTTCCACGCGGTGCTGTGTCAGACTCGAGCTGTGCGTCTGCAGTGCTTCACGCGGCAATATTTGGCTCGCCAGGAGCTGTACCGACGTCGTGCTGCGTACATTGCTAAGCTCGAGAGAGAGGAGCGTGAGCGTGTGGAGCGGGAGCTGGAGGCAGCCAGACAACGCAAGCTAGCGGAGGAGCGTGAGAGACAGCGGAAGCTGCAGGAAGAGCTGGCCAGACTGGAAGAAGAGCGTCGACTGGAGGAGCAACGCAGGCTCGAGATCCGTCGACAAGAGAGCGCGCTAGTCATCCAGACGCACGTTCGTGGGTTCTTTGCTAGGTGCGTGTTTGCCGATATGGTGCAGGAAGCGGAGGAGGAAGAGCGACGTCGTCGAGAAGAGGAAGAAGAGCGAGAGCGACTCCGTTTGCAGCGCGAGCACGACGAGCGTGAAGCTCAACGTCTTGCAGCGGAGGAGGCAGCTCGAGAGAAGAAGAGACTGGCGGAGGAACGCAAGCGCAAGGCGATCGCCATGCGTCTGCGACGGGAGAAAGCGGTCACAGCCGTGCAGCGTCTGGTTCGTGGTCACTTGGGTAGGAAGCAGGTTGAACGGATGAGGGAAGAGATGCGACAGAAGCAGGAACAGGCTCGTAGAGAGGAGGAAGAGATGCGACGGAGAGCGGAAGAAGAACGGAGAGAGGAGGAAGCAGCAGCGACGCGACTGCAGAGCATCCAGCGCGGCCGCTTGACTCGTCAGCAGTTCTCCAAAATCAGGATCGAGAAGGCCGAGCGTGACGACGAGATCGCTCGAGCTCGTAACGAACAGGAAGAAGAGGCCGCTCGTGCTCGTAAGGAACAAGAGGAGGAGATCGCACGAGCGCGCAGGGAACAAGAGGAGGAGATCGCACAAGCTCGCAGGGAACAAGAGGAGATCGCTCGAGCACGTCAAGAACAGGAGGAAGAGATCGCTCGGGCTCGTCAAGAACGGGACGACGAGATCGCGCGTGTTCGGGACGAGAACAGAAGGCTGAAGCAGCAGTTGGCAGAGCTTCAGAAGGCCAACAGTGAGCTCGAGGCCGTGGTGGCCGAGTACCGATGCGAGCGCGACGTGGTCAAGGCCTCCAACAGCCTCAAGGAGGTCGAGCTGACGCAGAAGCTGAACGTGCGACGCAAGGAAGTGGAGACTGCACGTGGCGAGTACTCGACCATATGCGACTTCCTGGAGAAGACTGGCAGTTCGCGTCGCGCCACGGAGCCGGAAGACCTCAACTCGTCCGACAACTCGTCCGACACTTCGTCAAACTATGGGGAAGAGGAGAACGGCAACTGGAAAGAGGACCGACCTACCGTCAACGCGTTGGCTGCGTCCTACTATGGCGATGACCGACCGTCCACGGACATTGCTAAGCTGCTCAGTAGCAGTCAATCGCGGACGTCTCGACTAGCGAGCGCCATGCAGCAGCGTCGTCAAAAAGCCAGCCAGGCGGTGCAGCAACGCAAGCAGCAAGCCACGGCCGCCATGCAGCAGCGCAAGGAGTTGAATGCCCAACGCAAGCAGTCGAATCCTCAGTCCATGCAGAGTGGCGCAACCACCGTCACGAAGGCCAAGAAGTGGGCTGCCTTCGCTCGCAACAAGAACGCCAAGAAGAGCAAAGCGGAGGCCAGCACTCCGATCGAACCTATCGGGTAAAAGTCGTCGTCCAGAAGTGTCACAAAGCTGCAGACGTGCTGAATGATAGACGTGTTACAAGTGTCAGCATTGCAGCTGAAGTAGGAAGTATCTATTACAATTCACCTCGTAACGAGCGAATGTTTTGAAGAACGAAGCAAGTTTCTTTTTTGTTATTTTACCATTCGGCAATTAGAGAGCTTTACATTTATCCAGGTTGTAGCCAGATATTCGTTTTACCACCTTCAGTTCTCTATTATCCGCAAGCCCTGGAGCCGGAAAGATACACTACATGTACTTGGTACAGGAAGCACACTCTTTTAAATCGTTTTGGAGTTCAAAATAGCCCATCTTACCTCTAATATTTATTTTAGTAAGAAATATAATTTAGTTTTTTTAATGTAGATAAAACACAATTGTAATGTGCTTTTTAGAAAAGTAAATTAAACATCAGCATTTTAAATAAAGATTTACAATGCAAATATCTGGGTTTCTTATTCTTAAGAAAACGATAGCATGGTTAAGGCGATTGTTCTGCCAAATGGAACGCAAGTGCCGGCAAGCCCAGGAAAATACAGCATCGTGACCCCACCAGACCTGACAAAGGTGGTAGACAGGCGGTTCTTACTCGAGTATGATTTCCCATTTCTTCTCGTGCAAGACATGTCGACAACGGCAGCGTCCAATTCAGAGCAGAATGAAGCCGTGCGGCAAGCTGAAAATTGGCGCGTGCAGCACCCACGAATTAAAGCCATAGTAGGTGGCTGCCGCTTAGGCTACCAGTTCAACAAGCCACCATCTCGTCGTGCGCGTGGTTGTCGGCGTCAGCTCATTCCAGACGTCTCGTACATCGACGAGAGCACATGGCTTTGTCTAACTCCCGAAGAGAAAGACAAGGGGTATCTACCTTGCGTGCCTGCAGTTGTCATCGAGCTCATGTCGGCGACCGACAAAATCGAAAACTTGCAGGCGAAGGTGACCAAGTTTATCAATGCTGGTACCCGTGAAGGTGTTATTGTCGATACACGACGTGATCGGGTGTGGATCTACAAAAGAAACCAGCAGCCGTACTATGACTCGTTGGCACCGATTATGTTCGACTCATGGCCAGGATTCACGCTGAATTGCATTGCCATACGGGACGCACGGACACAAGCTGGATTGACGTAACACCAAGTGATCGCCACGTGATGGCCAAACAATGCGCCAAGATGCTGGACAAGACGCATCTGAAAGTCTCCAATCTTCGCCCACGATGTCTTGCTGCGAAATTGAGCCCCGTCTCCTCGATAGTGCTCTCACATTCATTTCCAGTGTACGTCCGAATTTTTCAACCAAATTGCACCATTGAGGTTGATTTTACCAAGAATACACAGCGCTGCAACGTTGTAGTACTTCGTACTACTGTAGTAATGCTCTAAAAGTATGTGTTTCTTGCGATCGCACGCTAGGTCGAATGTATTTTTTTCCTTGCGGTCACTCAGTGCGCACAATTTTAAACGTGCAAATGAATATTGAAGTGGATCAAAGAGACCTCCTAATTTTTTTTTTTTTTTTGTTTTTTACGTATTAATTAAAAAAATAGAAAGGGTCAAAATTATTAATAGTAGGCCCCATCGAATTATAAAAGGCACTCGTTATTTAGCCAGACTGGGTAACAACAGACACAATTACACCAGAATACAACCGATTAGCATGCCCGAATATGCCAGACTCAGGAAGAGCCGGACGTGTCATCAGTTGACGTGTCTTCGGAGTATACGTATAACCGGATGTCAGTGTGTTGGCTTTGAAACTGAAACCCGCAAGACATTCAGCATCTAACTCTCAAGACAAAGTTCAGGGGGAATAACCTGGAGGTAGTCAACGCATCAAACACACTAACAAAAGACCAAATCATTGAAAAACTAGTTGCATTAAATGCACATGCACAGGTACCGATAGCGCAAATACTGTAACTCCTTCCGACTTGGCAGATATAGGTTTTCAGCACCGGCAAATATTTCAAAAGCTAGCAGCATATACATGCCACAATTGTAGCTATCAACCTGCACTCCAAGCTCGCTCGTGTATGGTCGAATTCGGTATTTTCTTGTAGCGAAATCTGGCAGCAATGCTACCATCTTCTCAGCGAGAGGTCGAACTTTTACGCCGTAGCTTGAGCTCATTGGATCATAGATAAAAAATTCTTTAAGCGACAGATCCATCATAACCGCACACCAGTGATTCTTGTTGCAGATGACAGGAATCAAATTCTTTTGGTTTGTCATGCCAGCAAACACGTCCTTCATAGTTTCCACCGCTAAGAAACCATTCATGACGTTACCGGCGACTGACGTGTCTACAGCAATCGTGTCTTCTCTCGCTGCGAACAACTTTAACGTCAGCTTATTGACCGTGCTGTCGCCTAACGCAGACTTGCCGACGAGTTCGAGTGCTTCAGCCTATGTGCAATTACACAGCAGTAGATATTAGTATTTCCATTGCGGGGCCTGACTGTATGCAACTGCGTACCTGCACCGATAGTAAAGGAATAGATTTGATCTTGGATTGTGTATCAGGATCAAGATCAACACAAAACCATCGGGGCATTTGGAGTTCGAAATTGATGGTATCAATCCAAACGATAGCTTTTTCCACATATTGGATGCTTTGTGCTACTTCTTCATGACACCCAGAGTCTCGGTGGAGTAGGTACCTACTCCAACAATTTCCACGACAATGTCCTTCTCACCTAGATTTTGATCACTTGATTCCTTGTGTGATTTCTGAAGAGCTAGCACTTTGGCACTGCATCTATTAAGGATATCCTTTCGGAAAATTCGGGGGATGGACTCAGCAGAGACGACTTTTTTGAGGCGGGAAGTCTTGCTACCTTGTGGGCAACTGGGGCTCGGGGATTTTTTGTGAAATCGAAAAGCTTAAATTAGTCACAATTGCGGCAGATGTCTCGTATGTTGACTCAATGCGTACGGCGTCTTGTATGGTTGCTAAACTCAGATTATCCGAGTACAAATTTGAATCATCTTGCACCATCAAAACATTTTTGCGGCGAGCTGCTTTCTTGGATTTTGCACTTTGCTTTGGGCGACCTCGGGACCTTGGAGGGCTCGCCACATCAAATGTATCATTTCCGACCGGTTGCAGAGTCGCATGAGAAGCTGAAGTCTCCGCACCAGTCTGACAAATAAGCTCGGCCGACACCGAACCAGACTCTCCAGACTGGATGCCAGACTCTTCAGACTGGATGCCAGACTCAACAGACTGGATGCCAGACTCGCCAGACTGGGTGCCAGACTCGCCAGACTGAGGTGTAATCTGCGTAGAAGGCTGTAATAATCCAGGCAGTAATAATTCAGGGTCTTCCACTTCAACCTCGCCCACGGTATCTGAGTCGAAGACATCGTCGCGCGTACCTTCACTGATTGTCGGCATCTTAATCGATGAAGAAAAATCTCCAACCTTGAAACGGTGGGCGACGGCCTTTAAATAAGCCATTGCTTCACGATATTGGACCATGCCTAAACCAGCCATCGAATCGCAAATTTCACTAGCAATAGGCAAGGCCTCTCGGTACTTCCGGTTCGAATCCCATGGCCGCTCATCGGTCACCAATACCCTTCGAGCGGCAAAAGATTCCACAGAAGTAGGAGCATCACTGGCGTTTTCGAACTCTATCGACGACCGTACAGACGACAGGACCCATCGCTGATGCAGCAGTTGAGTCAAGATAACAGTCTCCTTGTTTAGTGCTCTTCTAAGAAAGAAGACGTGTCGACACGGCAGCAAACGTGTACTCATAAAGAGACACGAGCAAGTCCAGTCGTGTGTCGTAATAGTGTACTCTGCGTCTACCTCATCGAGGGCGTCTTCATCGGGGGATGTACTCTTCACAAAGTACACACCTGGCGCTCTCTTGGTAAAGGCGTAAGATGCACGATCAAGTGCGTAGCAATACTGATCGTGTATTAACTCGCATGCATGTTCACTGACGAGGTTTGCAACCAACGTCATTTCGCGATCGTAACCAACATGCTGGACATTAACCTTCTTGTACACCTCATCCATAAATCATCGCTCTTGAAGACTCTGGTAATACATAATCGACGCTATGCATTCGTCCACTGCCATAAAAGAGTTTACCCACTCCTTCAACTGCTTCCACGAGGCCTCCAACCTGATGTTGGTGTTATTACCAAGCGTCACGGTGTTTTGGCGCTTGTGTGCACACCACAACTCGCGACATTTGTCCCAATTCTTAATGAAATAGGCGACAAAAGGGTGTCGGACGGATTCAAACGGTTCCACTATTGTGTTCGTAGTTTCACAGCGTTCAGACTCGGATGTGGTATGATTTCGCGCTTCTGTCGCCACATTCTGCCCGACCGCCACAATATTTTGCCCGACTGATGCCAGATTCTGCCCAGCTGGTGCCAGATTCTGCCCAACTGGATCTGAAGTCAATTGCCCAGATCGGGGGCGCCCCATTCCGCACACGTGCAACATGTACCGAAAGTGCTTCATATACTCTTTCTCGGTCTTCGCATATACAAGCAGGTTCATCAGACCTCGTAGCTGGTCCTTTTCCCACGTGTTACAACCGTAGTCTGCTGACGCGATTTCCTCCCGCAAATACTTTAAGACGTGAAATTGGCAGAGCAGGGTAGTGACGTCAGGGAAAGCAGTCTTCAGTACCGATAGTTCCGTGAAGTCCTTGTCGATCAACACGCAGCGTAGTTTTGTCCAAGCCGGATTGTTACTCTTAAATTCTTCAAGCGCCGTCAGTAATGTCGGCCATCGCTCGTTCTGTAGTAACGCGTGCTGCACAAATTGGCCTTTTCCAAAGGTATCGTGAGCCATAAAAGAGAAAACTTTGTACTTTGAACGGTTTGTTCCGTGCGTCGCGTCAATGAGAAGAACTTCCGGAAATTGTTTGTAGACCGATCGCATGTGTTAAGTCTGTAATGTAATACATGTTGCAATTTTCTAATACAAAGAACATGTTAGATGTTATGAATATAATGTATTTGATTCACTAAATACACATACCTTTTCCCCGACATCGTCTACGAATATACGACCCACATTCCCGACATTATCTCCAAACTCGGCCATCCACTTCTTCAATCGTTTTGCGCTCGAACTTGGGCCGTTTCTGTTTTCACGAGCTTTCAACTTGCTCACGAGGTTGTGAACATCCTGTGGCTTTGGATTACTATCTGAATTGTCTCTGATAAACTTCAGAATACTGGTCTTCTTTGCTCCAGCCTTTCGAAGCTCATTCACCGTCCGTAAGGCACTGTCATCGAGAGTAATACGGTTGGAAGGATGACTCTTGAATGCATACTCGTCCAGTGAGTGATTGTGCTCGAGCCGGCACTTCGTCACTTTGAGCACAAACGTATGTTCAGCTTTGTTAATCTCTTGAACGCATACATTCAGCTGAAATAATAGTAACAAAGTTAATGCAAACAGACACGGTTGGTGGCTGAGCTTACACCGGTGATGCACGATTCATCCCAACTGAGCCCGATTATGCCAGATTGGGTTTATTTCGCTACAAACCAAAACTATAGTAATCGCATACCTGTGCTGAGCATCCTTGTACCCGTGTCTCCTGACGCGGCCGCTTGCTTGTGGCTTGCGATCGGTATGTGCCGTGGTGTGTACACACGTACGTCTTCGCGTACTGATCCCACTCGGCCGGGATTTTAGTCGCCGCGGAGCCCTGAGCATCTATCCTAGCATTCCGTACAGCCACTGAAGTGTTTGTTCTCACTCGAAATATCTAGCAGACAAACAAAACGTGATGAGACGGTATAGACAAACACAACAGATAACTTAATAATGTACCTGGAGTGACTGCGCTTGGTACAGCGCTAGATAGGCCTCGAAGTCCTTCCACGACTGAAATTGTGTCTCTTGTGGTGGCGAGGCGAGGACACAAATCTGACCCGATTCTTCACTTGCGCTACTGGTGACCGTCTCCGCCTCAGCAGAAGTCGAGCTCGACACTGGCTGTCAGTCACTCACGGAGCCGTCGGAGTCGTTGCTGGCGCTGTCGCTGTCGATACCCTCCAGTGCCAGGGGGCGCTTCTGTGCGCTGCGTGGCCGTGGTGCCATTTTCGTGCGTTTGGAGCCACGCGTTTGCTGGAGGGGGAGATTTTTTGTGGTTCAGGAAACGGTGGCATACTGGTATACAGTTTCTATACGCTATACCTAGTACGGATGAGTGCATACACAGATAATCGAAAGATAGGAAAGATTTGCTATGAGTTGAGTGTTCCCAGTCTGGCAAAATAGTCACTCTCATTATAAAAACATTTCTTACGTCGGTAGGTGGACGAAAATTTAAGTTCTTCTCAAAATTTCCATGCGTGGTTAATTAATTTAGCGCACACGCAATAGCGCAAATCTGTTATAGACTTGATTTGACCTACAGCCCGATACACGGCGACTAAGCATATAAGAAATAGGATATTTAGTAAGTGATGAACTCATTGTCGATACATTTTCACAAGCGATCAAAGACTCCAGTGCTGGAGGGAAATGGCGAGCGCTATCATCAAAGTGCTCTCGATATCGCTAGCATCTCGGCATACCATATCAATGATTTGGTTGTTGAGCAGGTGTTGAACACGCTGCGCCGACGCTGTCGACTCTTTTGCAGTTGACTTCCGTCATTGCTGAGCTGCGAGAAGAGCATCCGGTTCTTGCATCATCACTGGTGCTTCGAGACTTTCCTGCTAATCGGAGCGGATTTCTGCTGAGAGTAACGCGCTGAATTCGCTACTGAACTGAGAGACGTGATTTATTGGACTACCTTACATTGCATTATTTGATAGTCCACTGCACAACTCGTTAGATCAACCTCTCTGCTGTGCTTAAGTGTTTGTTTTAGCTCACACAACAACTTCACCCAAGTCAGATCTCTGTCTGTACCATACCAAAAAATATCGGACCCTCGGACCTGTACCTCAAAGCTGGTACAAAATGCAAAAACAAACGCTGTTCTGAATGTACATTTTACTGATAGCTGTGGTACTGCATGGGGATAGGGGAGACACCCTGAGATGGGGATCTGCTGCAGAGAGACTTTTAACCATGTTTATAGGCGCAAGGAACCGGCCTGAAACCGCCTGTGGGTTGAGAAAAGCTTAAAAAACATGAATTTTGCGACCAGGAGACATGTGCTCTTGGTCTGGTAAACTCAACAATGAGCCCCCGATTTTTGTGGCGGGGTCCACTATTAAACGCACCAACGATAGCCAGCCACAGATGCACGCACTTATTGGTCGATTTTTTACCAATCTTATCCTGCCACCTAAATATGTTTAGACTTGCACCCAACCCGCGGCTCACAGCCTAGCAGAGCTCAAAACACACAAAACTGGTGGCGACAACGAGGCCTCTACGCTCAGACTTAATGGTTTTCGCCCAACTACGCAGATCTTCAACTCGATCGCTCAAGCCCCACAGCTCAGGCTGTCGGCCAATCGTGAATCTCTCCTCAGCCCCCCCCCCTCCTTCCCCCTCCACAGCCCCCCCCCTCACCCCACCCCACCCCTCATCCAACGATGACGTAGCTCAGTGGAAGCGCACAGGGCTATGCCTTAAAGACGCTGGTTCAAATCCAGCTGTCGCCATATTTTTGATTGTGGGGTGGAGGCTCGTCACGGCCTAGTGGCTGAAGGCGTGGTACTCTACCTGCTTAGGTATCTGGGCTAAGTAAGATGTGGTCACGCTGTATGCGCTATGGCAAACGTGTATGATGAATTTGCTAGCAATGCGTTCTTGTTGCTAATCCTTACCTTTTAAAACGTATTGGGTGTATCCAGGAGCGGGGTCGCGAATGGCTGCAGACTGGAGAAGTTTTTGACGGCGCTTGATTCTGTCGTTTAGGTCTCCTTTGCTGTGAAGAGCCTGCAAGTGCTTAAGGACGGCGCTCGACCCACGCGAGCTAATCTTCTTCTCGCCATCCAGGAAGGCAAGTACGGCTTTCTCTGCTTTCTTGCCCACCTCAGGAACACAGTCACGATAGTCGTCAGCCTCTTGGCCAAGAACGATGCCGTCCTCAAGAGAAATCTTCATAAAGACCACCAGCAACTTTGCTCTCGACCGCTATTGTTTTGGCACCAGTGCGTACCAGCGTGGATCTTGAGCGTACCACGCAAACCAGCTAGCATGAAGGTGAGTTGGAGATCCCCGGCGTTGTTTCTTGCTTAGCGTGCTACCTTCATATGTGCCTTCATCTGAACAGCTTCGTTTTCTTGGTATAGGCTCGCTGTTTTTGCTTAGCTTCGAGTGCATCTATGCGAGCGTCCTGTCGCATGATGTGCTCCATAAAGTGCTTAATCACAGCCGCTTGATGGTCGATGGTCTTCTGGTTCTCGCTTGATTCTCTTGGCAGTTCATCGTCGTTGTGAGTGGGTGCATTACATGTCTTGTCGTCTTTAAAGATAGTGGCTGGGGTTGCCAGGTGCGAGGACCATGCAAGCAGCTCGACTGGTGATCATCCAGCATGAGCAGCAGCCGCTTCGATGCGCTTCACAGCTGGACTTGTGGGGCTCTGGTCTTTGAGTAGCGGGAAGTGACGGAAGACGCGTTCGGTGAGGACATCTATCACCTTCTTGTTGATGTTTAGGCTGTCGGTCTTGAGCTGAAAGCAGGCAGCGAGCAGAACGCGCTGCACCCGATCCATCGCTTCACGCGTCTGCGTACCAAAGCCAGTCAAGTCTTGCAGCGGCACCGCGATTCTGGGTTTGTATACGCTGAGTACTTTCGCTATCTTGTGGTCGTCTTTGCTTGTATTGAAAATGTAATTCAACCCTTTGTTCGTCGTGCTTAGATTCCAGGGGCCTCTGTCAAAGATCCAGCGTGGAGTCATCTCGTCGCAGCCGTTTGCATGCTGAGCGCCTCCTCTTCGAAACGAGTGCGATGTCAAGGCGACATCCACACCAGCAGCAGGCGCCACACGGTCTAGCACCCGATTAACGTGCGCGTACACTGTAGGGGCTGTGGCAACACGCGGTGGGGCTACTGGAGCGGCAAGACCAGTCGTGACTTGCGGAGCGTTGAGCGGCTCGATCAGCGGGACGTCGGGAGAAAGCGTGGAGCTTGCGAAGCCTGCTTGTTCTGGGATGTTGCTGGCGAGGGCTTAGCCTGGGGCGGCTGGGAGAATCAAGGCGAGCGCAATGGAGAGCAGGGGGCACGTAGCCAATTCCGTGTCAGGAAAGAGCGACAGCCCCTGCTCCTCAGACGTCTTGACGCGAGCCAAGCGCAGGACGAAGACGTCTACTGACATGTTGTGTTTGCGGACCATGGCTAGGTCGGCCGCGCGGTCGAACAAATACCAGAGAAGACATAGTAAAGTTGCATCTTGATAGTCACTTTCTGAGCTAGCATAAGTGTACAAATACAACATCATTCTTTAAATTATCTTTCGTACAAGGTGGTGCTTTCGCTACGAGCCCACCACCATCTCGCTTCAGACAGAAGCTGTCTAGTGTCGTCCCCGTTTTCAGCAACCGGGCTTCCAATGAAGCTCGGTGCTTAGGGAACTGATCGAGCAGCCAGAGCTTGGCTTGCCGATAGTACTGCACGGCAGTGTTGCGAGCTATTGGTGTACCTTTCTTACCTTCCTTAAATGCAAGATACATACCAAACTTATCCATCACACACACGAGCATTTTTCCGCTCTCGTCACTATCAATGCCTTTCCTTATGTATTCCTGTTCAACTGCCTCTTTTTTGAGAAATTTGACGAACGCACCGATGGCTGTTGCCTTAGCCCGCAAGGTATTACCAGGCTGTAGTTCGTCTAAGCCCATGTCACTGGGCCACTGGTCCGATAGAAGCAAAATAAGCAAGTGATATGTCAATGACTTTGAGTTTGGATAGGCATACACATATTTTGCGTATCAATCGGACGTGACACGTCCGATCGGCTAGCGTAGATGACTCGCCTACCCCTCTTCAATTTGATTGGTTGAATAACAGTATCATCTTGAAAGCTATTGGTTAGTACTATAACATTGGCTGTAAGATGCCAATACAAATTGAAGTGAGGTCCGAAAAAAACTTCATATTCTACCATACACGCAGCAGCGATTGCAAATTGCAATTTGCAACAGAGCGTCTCAGCGCGTAAGGCCAGTGAGCAAGTTGCTGCTCCCTAATTGCTTGTTACAATTTTCTGAGAACGTTCTGCTGCACCTTTTTTTACTATTTTCAATAGGCTTCTTTTTCTGCTGTGGCCCCTAATTCTCGATTACTTGTATGTCTTATTGCGACATTCAGAAGGTCAAATCTTTACAGAAGTCAAGTCTGCTGTGTGCTGACGCAGTAAATACATGCGTTTTGGCATGTTCTGTCGTTTATACCACCACAAATGGGTAAACGCTGGCGCGTTTGCTGAGTGCATGTTGTGCTTCGTTGCCGAAGAACCGGACTCTTACTAGTCAGGATAAACGTCGCACCCAATTTAAGTAATTCTACTACAAGCGTTGTCTACGTGACTCAGTTCCCTGATCTGTGCGAGCAAACGCTGACGACGGCGAAGTGAGAGAAGATTGCGCAGTTGATTCTTCCTGTCTTCCTGGTCTATAGCGCCGAGCTTGCGCCTCCCAGTGATGCAGTTTATGGAATGAGCGATAGCGGCTCGTAGTGGTGAAACAACAAGCTTGCGGGATCTGCAGAAGATCAGCGCAACCCTGCTATCCAGCGTCTCTCTGTCTTTGCTAGACGAGAAGTTGTACGCGTATAGGATGATCCTGTGCAATGCTGTGGCTTTCCGCGCGTGTCGGATGATGCTCGCAGTGAGAGATGGAAACGCCGGTCGCGCTACTCCGTTGTTGTCCACTACGAACAAGGCAATACACAGCTCCAGAATAAAAACCAATTCACGTCCATGTCTTCAGTGGCCCACAAACACTTGCTCCAGCTACAAACCCTCTGTTGACAGCTTTATCGACTCGACTGTGTTCGCTCTGAAGACGAGCAAGCAGCTTGCTGGCGAGATGAAATGCACCACCATTTTTGTTTTGTTTTGCGTATAAATACAGAAGTAATTATCAGATTAATGTCGGGAGACCCGCAATGGGAACAGAGGTCACAGACAGATTAACTTACTCGTCTTTTATTAATAATATCCCGGCTTTCACCATAATATGGTGGAAGCCGGGAAATGGATGCTGAGCATGTATGCACAGAACATTTCTTGTGCTTTATAATAAACGAAGAAGCCTAAAGTGACATGTTTTGCGACAGAATGCAGCTTGGATTGCAACGAATTTGCAGAAGTTGCTTTTAGCAACAGGAGCAGCGTTGGGATTGCTGCATGCCGTGTTAAACTCATTATCTTCAACATCACTTCCTTGGCATAGAATTGAGTAAAAGGGGCATTGTTGATTGTAATACTGAAGTTTGTATTGACCGAAGCATCATTCCTGAACATAGCCTCGGTTTTTGGGCGGTGCGAATGACTCGCATTTTTCGGTTATGTATTGTGTGAAATTTTGAGCATATATTTCAGCCAGATTATAAACCGAGATCTTTCCAACAACAAAAAAAAACTCATAAAAATTGGGTAATTGGGTGAATAGTTGTGAAGGGGCAAAGTGTAACGGGGTAGGAAGCCCCAAGTGTACCCCTAGTTACATGAAGTGTGACACGTCACACATCAGAAGTATGACACGTCATACTTCGAGATATCTGGTACATGGTGCCGGTCGTCCGAGGCCACCATTGGCTGATGACATTAAGTGACTTATAGCTTGCACATTTAACTCAAACTTAGTCTACCTATAAAATATCCAATTTACAACTTACCTTAAATTGGTCACTTCGGTCCCTTAGGCAAAGGGGGCCTGTGAACTGCCGTTCACTGAGAGTTTGTAAGCTCTCAGAAGCCAACTTCGTCTTAGCGCAAGGTGCTGTGTGACCCGTCACACTTGGTAGCACTCGTAGTCAATCCACGCCACCGCCGATAGACTACCTGAACCTCTCTGAAGTTCATTGCCATGGATAGGAACAACTTCTCCCATCTGACCGTTCGAGTCGGTTCGTAAGATGACTGGCATCTTCGGGATGGAGGCCCTGCAGAGCCTGGTGGCGTCAACACCGGCCGAGCAGCTCGAGCACGTCAATGCGTTTGACGCTTACGAACAGGGGGCTCAATGCACACGAGCGGGAAAACCTGCAGACTTCGGCGGCGGAAACAAACCCGCCACACGAAGCCAATACGGCTGAAGGCTAAGCCGTATGAAGGAAACGAATGTGAGAGCCTTCACTTCTGGGTTCGAGAGGTAGAGCTCGCGTTGGACGCAGCTCTGATCTCGACCGAGCAACTTCGTGCTGCTTTTGCACTCTCCAACCTTTGAGCTAAGCGTTGGGTGTAGATGCGGGAGGTGATATCGCCTGGATGTTTCACATCCTGGGATCCGCTATGTGAGCAGCTCCGAGCTGCGTTCCTCCCGGCGAACTACGAGTACCGGCAGCGCTTGCGCTTCCTGCATGGAAAACGCGAGCTGCGCGAGTACGGCCAAGAGATACGGAAGCTCACGGTGTTTCTAGTGGGAAAACCACTCAACGAACACGTCAAGATGACTGTGCTCATGGGCGGCATTGGAGTGGGCCCAGCGCGCAC